TACCCTCAGCGGCTCGAGTTGCCCCGTGTCGCGCCCCTAAAGTTCACCCTCGCAGCGCTGCCGTGTTTGTAATAGCTCGTTTAATTCCTTCTACAGTTTCGGCGATTTGTTACCGCCGATTGCGCCACCTGCCCAGCTGAATACGGGATGGTTACGAGGCGAGCTGGCGCGGCGCGGTTTGCCCTCCAGATCAGTTTTCCAAGCTAATATGAGGATGCTATACATTCCTTCACAGTCTTACTTCTCTCTTTCCTATCTCTCTCTCTCTTTCTCTTTCTATCTCTTCCTCTTCCTTTTACTCTTTTTCTTTCTTTTCCTATCTTTCTGTCTATCTCTTTTTCTTTCTTTCTTTCTTTCTTTCTCCTGCTCTTTCTTTTTTTCTCCTGCTCTTTCTATTTTTTCCATTAATTTTTTCCTGGTCTTACTTTTTAAATTCTTTCTCTCTCTTTCTCTTCCCCTCTCTCTTCTCTCTTCCCCTCTCTCTTCCCCTCTCTCTCTTCTCTCTTCCTCTTCCTCTCTTCCTATTTCTCTTTTTCTTCTTTATTTCTTGGTTTCTTTGTCTCTCCTGTTCCTATCTCTCTCTCTCTCTCTCTCTCTCTCTCTTCTTTCACTTTTTATTTCTCTTTCTTTATTGAAATTTCTTAGCCTATCTTTTTCTCATTTATTTTTTCTTTCTCCTACTCTTTTCTTTTTCTCTTTTCCTATTTCTCTTTTTCTTCCTCTTTCTTTCTCACATCCTTTGTCTTTCCTTTTCAATGCTCACATACTATCTTTTTCCAATTCTACTCTCTTCATCTGGTCTATCTACCCATCTTTCATTTCTTTACATCTACATGTATATGAATCTACCATAACTGTATTCCTCGCTCGCATCTTAGACGTTAAAGCATCGTTGATTCTTATTTGATTAAGGGTAGATGTTGCCTTACAGCACAATTACACACTCGACTTGAAAATAACTTCAAAGAAGAAATGACCCCTACTCCTTCTGAGACCTGGAAAAGAGGGTCAATTCTTATACTCTAGAGCTCCTGAACAGCTGAATGTAATTTAATCACTTCTAAAATAAAGACAAACTATTGAAACATAGAGCAATCATTTATTGATATTGTTGATGAAAATAAAAGAGCCTGAGTGAATAGTGTACAAAGTTCCTCTTGTTATTACAAATTGCTCACATTTCCCAATTTTTCACCTGTCTTATATTTTCCTGTTTCTTCTTGTCTGTCCATATACATATATTTTAAGTACTTTATAGTTGAGGAAACATTTTTCATTCCCAGATGCTATTGTTACACCTGAACCCTCCACCCCCCTTCTTTCTTGCCTTTGGCCGCGAATCCTTCCCCAACTATTGGTGGTTAATAAGGACTAAGAATAGATGGAATTTCTTTCTTTAAAAAATACAATCATCAAAATTCATTTACACATATACTCCCAAGGAAGATGCATTAAAGATAATCTTAAAATGTATTTGTGATGAATACTTGAAACTTCAAATATGGGAAAAGTTCCTATTGCTTGAACTGTTGAGGTTTATTTATCATTTTACTATAGCATTAACAGGAAGATCACAGAGTATTTTATATATTCCTTTTTCCAAAGACTGCCAGTTTTTCCCCATTTGACATGAATTCAAAATGTTAAATCTTTTTTAAGAGGAATCAACTAGTGAGTGCCTTTAATATATTCATGCTTGTGCAGAATAGGTTATAAATTGAGCTGGGATAAGCAATTTCTCTTCCCCCACATCACAATTTCCTTGCCTCTTTTCACTTTAAAATGGCCAGTCATCGGCTTTCAGTCCTGTTTAGAAACAAAATATCACGAGAAGCATGTCAGAGCGCCTGCCGCCAGCTCCGTAAGGCAATCAACAGGCCATCGCAAACTTGTCGTCCGACGAAGTAATAATTACGGCTCTCTTCTCCCGCGATTAGCCCATGTTTATTGGACTTTATTGGGATTTGATTAAGTGGCGCTCAACACTGCCCTCTGTGGTTTGGGAGGGCAAGAAGTGAAACACAATCTTGGAGGTTTACTCAAGTGTAGGGTTATTGGAAGTGTACAGAGTTTAGACAGTTAAATGTTCTGTTGTTAGATGTAATTACCTAGGTTTCTTCTGAATTGCTTAACCTTTTACAGTGCTGTAAATTTTTGAAGTTGTTTTTAGGACAGGCGAATGGGAGCAGAGCTTGCAAGATACATCACAGAGATGCCAATTAGTCTTTGGTAGATTGCACCTTCAAAAATTCATCACTTTCCTTGTTTTTCATCGATTTTTGCTCAGACTTTCACTGACCTTTTCCTCTCATTTTTCTGCTTTTATTTGTTTTCATGGGTGAAAGAGAAAATTCAGCAATCATAAGATGTCATCAACAAAAAAATTGTTTTAATTTGCCTAAGTTTAGTATGTATGAGAATCTCTTATCACTTGGTTTAACAGGGCTTATTCAAAAAGTGTTAACATTTCTAGTAATGTCCATACTCAAATACAGGCTTAAACAAGGTTGCAGTTATGATACCTGTTGAATATTGCTCAGGCAAAAATGAATTTATACTGCCTTTAATTACATAAATTTTTCCAATTCTCTTAAATGTTCTAACATTTTCTAAGGCCATACAAGCACTTAGAATATCTTCAACTTAGCATAATAACAAATGTTGTACAGTATAAATGCTTAATATCCATTAATAATAAATCTCAATGTTACAGATATAATTTGTCTTTTTTGGACCAGAAAGGTTTTATACGTAAACAAGAGGAGAAGAAAAACAAATTGTTAATAAGGAGACTTTTAGTACATTGGCAGTAATGACACTTAATCTTGTTTTCTCCCAGACATTTATGTTAATTTACTTTCTGCCAACGTTCCAACAGTTTTTGGCCGAGTTGGTAAATATGCGGGACAGATATTTTAATCTCCCGTGACTCCTAAATCGCGATGTATTTAGGGGAAAAGAAAGAGCAATGTTTTTGAGGCCGAGTGTTGACACCGCTGGAAGAAGACGGACACTTGTGCATGCTCAAGCAGGCTGGCATCAGGCTCGGTGGATAAAGTTGCGCTTTGTCTGTCACCCGCGATCAATCCGGTGGAATCGATCGCGAGGGATCGTCTGTCGGATTCCGGGAGACGTCTCGTGTCCCCTCCTTATTACAAACCCAATAAAAGTAGCGGTGAGAGAGGGATGGATGGATGGAGGGATGGATGGAGGGATGGAAGGATAGATGGATGGAATGAGTGAGGTTGGATTTAGGAATTGATTGAAGGAAATGTGATGGATGAATCTAAAATAGATGGATGGATAGATTGGACGGATGGATTGGTAGGGGAAGTTGGATAGAAGGAGGGAAGTTGGTTTAAAGAATTGATTGATAAGTAATTTTGATGGAGAAAGAGATGGATGGATTGATGAATGGATGCAATGAAGGATTGATGGATGGATAGAAGAATGTCTTTAGTTGGAACATGTATAATACTCTCTCTCTCTCTCTCCCCTTCTCCCTCTCTCTCTCTCTCTTTCTTCTTATCCATCCATCCTCCTCTCCTCTTCCTTCCTCTCTCTTTCTATCTCTCTGTCTGTCCCTTCTATTTCTCTCATATTTTCTTCCTGCTATTTCATTTCTGCCCACTATCTCTCCATAGCTTGCAATAAAACTAAAGAGAGATCTTCTTGTCAGATGGCGCATGCCAACATCAAAATTTACACCAACTAGCAAGAGGATGTCTCCTCAAAAATTGATTGCTTTTTTAAGATAAACTTCCCAATCTTCATATTTCACATTTTTCTCACACATTCCAAAAAGTATTGACATCCATTGCCATAGAAAACAGCATGTTCTTTCCAAATCGATTTTATTTATAGAAAATAAAACAGCATATAAGCAAGAGAGGTGGGAAAATGTGCGCTGCTTGCGTCTCGTCGCCCGATCACTTCTACGTCATCAAATGATTTTGAGACGAGTGATATGGAATTTTAAAGAGAGGAGTGTTACGGGATATCGTATTTAATTTCCTTGATGGATTGGAAGTGAAAAAATATGATGAATTATGAATCGTTGAACAGGATCCATCGGATCTGATTTATGAATATACAAAAACAAGATAAAAAAGAGAGACAAGCCTGAAATGTATGCAACAGTTAAATGGAAAATATGGATTGAAGTTTGTTTGAGGTTTGTATGATGGAGGGGAGAGAGAAGATAGAGATAGTGAAGAGAAGATAGAGATAACAATAGGAAAAGGAGATAGAGAGAGAGAGAAAACAGAAAGAGGAGATGAAGAGAGAAGATAGAGATAGCAAAAGGAAGAGGAGAGAGAGAGAGAGAGAAGAGAGTCACATAAAGATTATGACTGTTTGCGAGTGCAGGAAACAAATCAGTTTGAATTAATTTGAATCAATAAATTTTATTTCAAAGTTTAATTTATTTCAAATTTGACTATTCTGAGGTTGTGTTTTATCGTAATGTTAAAAGGAAATATCACAAATAATTGGAAAGAAAATACACATATGAAAATTAGATCAATTTAACTAACAATCGGTTACCATATTTTGTTTTTTATACAGATTTGAGAGGGGATTTCCGTCAAGAACCCAGCGACACCATGGCTCTGCTTGGGGAGGCGGTGGTGTTGGAGTGCTCCCCTCCTCGTGGGCACCCGGAGCCGGAGGTTAGCTGGGAGAGGAACGGACAAACGGTGGTAGAAGATGGGATTAGAGTGAGAATACTGACAGATGGAAACCTGGTTATATCACAGGTAAATTGGATGGTGGTGATGATGGTGGTGGTGGTGGTGGTGATGATGGTGGTGGTGGTGATGATGGTGGTGATGATGATGATGATGATGATGATGATGATGAGGATGAGGATGATGCATGGTGATGATGGTGATGGTGGGATGGTAGTGGGGGTGGGGATGATGATGCTGGTGGTGGTGATGATGGTGGTGGTGGTGGTGATGGTGAGTTTTCATTTAAATCATTTTGAAATTCACAGGACAGTTAGGGGATACTACTACAAGATTACACTTGAAGTTTCATTGAGAGTGGCCAAGTACTTTTTAAGATGTTGCCAATCAAAAAGATGGTAGTGAATCATTGCGAGTGATGGCAATAATGGTAGTAGTAATGATTGTGGTAGTGATGATGTAGATGATACAACTGATCCTTCGTTCATGCGAATATTCTTCTCTTCCTCCTCATCTAGCCCAAGTCAAGTGACATAGGGAATTATGTCTGTGTAGCAACCAACTCTGAGGGAGCCAAACGTAGTGCTGCCGGACGATTGATCATAAATTGTAAGTTCTTCTGAAACATTTCGTAGTTCAGTAAAAGCATGTAGCCTTTCAACAACTCAAGCAAACTGTTGTAATTTAAAACCCCACTGTACTACTTGTAGCTACTTGCTCCCTCTATATAGAAAACAATGCCAAAGCTGTGCCCTTTGGTCCCTCGTGATCCTCTTTAAAAAAATGTTAATTGAGAGCTGAGTTGACAAGATAGCCACCTGTCAGTGACCTTGCCGGGTGGTCTAATCCCTCCTGGCCAAACTAGTACAGACAGGCTTTAAGTGTTGAATTTAACCTTGGGAACTGAGATCTGAGACACTAGCAATCATCCTCTGTGCATGAAATTACCATCAATGTTTTCAGCTTAATTTGTTTAAATAGTTACCAAAGGTATATGTTACTCATGTACATCATTTAAGATTAAGTATGTTGCAAAGGAGCTGTTTCAATTAAGTTTGTTCTCTCTAAATATTTTTATTTCCCCTTATCACAATTTTAGCAGCCCTTTTTTGGTTAGTGCTTATTTGGAAAGTTTTCTCTATAGTCTCAATGGCCATTTATAATTTAGACCTCCTAAATTAGATTACAATGAATGAGTTGGTATTTAATTTGTGATTTCCTTTCTCATCTTCTGCAGCGCGTCCTGCTTTCACAGAGGTCCCTTTCGACACATTGGCCATCCCGGGCGAGACCATCACCCTTCCCTGTGTAGCGGAGGGCGAGCCTGCACCCACCATCAGATGGGTGAAGCAAGATGGCACTCTACCACTGAACAGGTTAGTTACCATGGAATGGACCGCCTCCCTCCCATAAGACTATCGTCTACCTGGAAAAAGGGTGCATGCAGATGGATGGGGGAATAGAATGGTAGAGAGAATGTATATTTTAAGAAAAACACATTCCAAAGTTTTGACTGTACCCTTGCTTTATCAACACAATATTTTCAGTCTATACAACATCCAAACATAATCAGTAAAATCACTTCGCTTCAGCAATCAAATCTAGAAGGTTTATAAATATGACAATACTTTTTGTTCACACCCATTTTATCCTGGACGCACAATGAAATAATTGAAACAAAGGGCCAGAGTTATACAGTATATGGTTTATAGGTATATGGGAACATATGGCTTTGTTGACATGCTTAGAGAAAATGTTAATTTCTTCTTCCCATTGTTTACAATAGAGATGGGGATGTTGAGTGACAGATCAGAGTTCCTTAGGCAATCCAGATTTTCCCAGCAGACGATATGTGATTAATCAGTCTATTTTGTCAAGTTTATTTTGTTAAAAACTGATGTTTCCACCAATTTTATAGGTGTGCAATTAATTAAGTTTCCAACTAGTTATACAGCATATGTTGTTTGGCTCAGTAATGAACTTGTTAAAGATAATGCTGATTGAAGTCGTTAATTTGATGTTTTTTCCTCAATTTTTCAATTTTTTGGAATATTTTTATATTATTGTTATGAGCTTGATTACATGTATATGTTGACATTGTAACGCAGGGGTAAAGTCATTATTTCAATCTCACATACTACTTGAAAATAAGATGTGCTTCATCTTATAATATAATTTCCCTTTTTTTAATTATTATAAACTGACATTCTCGTAATTAATATCTAGGGTGCTAAGAACAAACAGGAGCATAGCTTTTACAAATCACACATTTGCAAAAAATTTAATTTGTTTTAATTCTGATTTGTCTCTTCAGGAATACCATGTTGCAAGACAGCTCTCTACGGATCAGCAATGCAGAGTCGAGCGATTCAGGCACCTACATCTGCACCGCTCAGAACACCTGGGGTGATAAGAGCGTGGAAGCGATCGTCACCGTCAGCTGTAAGTTACAAAGTATTTTATAGTTTTTGTATGGATGGTGATGCTTAAGGTGGTAGTTATCATGATGTTGGTGGTGATCATGATGATGGTGATGATGATGGTTGCTAGTGATGATGATATTGATTATGAAGTTGAAGTTGGTGGTAATAGTGGTGATGATGGTGGTGGTGATGACGGGGGTGATGATGATGATATTGATGTTGGTGGTGATGATGATGATGATGATGATGCCGGTAATGATGATGATGATGATGATAATGGTGGTGACAAGGATGGTGATAGTGATGATGATGATGGTGGTGGTGATGATAATGGTGATGATGATGGTGATGATAATGATAACGATGATGATGATGATGATGATGATGATGATGATGATGATGATGATAATGGTGGTGGTGATGATGGTGATGATAATGATAATGGTGATGATTATGATAATGATGATCATGGTGATTGGTGGTGGAACATTTCCGACATCGAAGTCAAGATGACATGGTAAATAGTAATTGTAGCATCATTTTAAATACAATAAATGGGCAAATATTTGGTTTAGTAGGAGGCATCATTGGAGACAAAGCAGTACACATGTTGTTTATGCCCTTCTTGTTCTCAGCTGATATTAATTAATTACTTAATTAATTAATTAATTAATTAATTAATCTTAATTATCATTAAAAATGGTCTGTTGAGAGCCAGAAGGGTATTTACCCTCAGCTTTCAAAACAGAGTCTTGCTCTGTTAAGAAAATAGATAGGACATCAGCTTGTGTTGATCTTCAGTAGATTTGAACTTATTTCAACACTAGATCATTACAAGTAGGTCTTATTATCAAAACACTAGATAAAGTCATGCAAATAATGAACATTTCATTAAAAAATAATATTCATAACAAAATGCTGCAAAAGCAAATTAGTGGGTTTATGTAATGTGTACTATATGTTAGCACTTTGCAGTGTTGCTACTGAAGTTTTACAGTGACAATCTCATTTGCCCATTTTATGTTAACCATGCACTTATTCTAATAGTACTCACTATAACCCCTAGATGCGTCGATTGCTAATTCTGCTCTTGCAGTGTTCACATGGTGAAACAGTGCAAATACTGCCAGAGGGAGTTGAAAGCATCTCCTAAACATGAAGGTTTAAACCACTGACTACGGGCACCGGGGGTCTCCTGTATAAAAGCCTATGGGAATGGGAGAATTCGGTAGTTCATTGGTTAAAAAAGTGCTTGTAGAATTAACTGTAACTCAGTGAGAATCTGTCTGCTGCAGAATCATTACATGTTGCTTGTTATCATGCTACAATGTAGCCAGCGCAAGAAGAAAAAAAAAATCGCCCCAGGAAATTCTCCAGCAATTAAGATCATTTCATTGTGGTCTAGCGCTGTCAGGGCTTCGCTACTGAGCCACACAGAGGCTTACCGCACCCTTGACACGTTCGTCTCGTTCTCTGAGCTGCAAATTGACCACGCCGAGACTCGGTTTAAGGGAGGCAGGTGAATCACGGGGAGTTGTCGGTTTCCGATCTAACCTTGGGGTCGTGCGCCGTCCATCACGGCGATCCGTATCGGGAGTAATCGACACAGGTAGAGGCGATCGTTGGATTCAATTTACAGCTTATCGCAAATCGATATCGGATGTGATCAGCATTTAAAGGAATTAGCGGGCTTGTAAAGGAGGATGTAATTTTTCATGAAGGTCTTTTATGTGCTGTAGACCGAATCACAATAACACACCCAAAGTGATTTATTAGGAGTCGTTAAAACAATGTGGGAGATGAGAAATGTTGTCCTTTTTAGAAATCGGAATTCTATTATTAAGTAGGTTGGATGGAGTCAATTTAACAATTAACACAATCTCTGATATTCTATCTGAAGATCAAAATATCACTTGAAATATGCATCAGACTCTAAACACCAACATAAGTGATCTCTATGGGCAGGTGGTCTTTATGTACAGGTTCCTTTAGTACATGTTTGAATGAGAAACCATATTTCGGGGAAATGAAAAATGTGGTCTTTATTGACAGGTGGTCTTTGTTGACAGGTGGTCGCTAGAGCAGGTTGAATGTATTTTCAGTATGCATTTATTCTCATTGTATTATGTGATGGTTAGTAATCAAAGAGTTTGTGAATTTTAGGGAAATAAGATAATAGTACAATTTCTTTTTACACAAGTTGATATTGTTTCATGGATTTACAGTGAATATCCAAATAGTATGGCATGATTTGTTACATTTTATAGATAACAGTATGTTTCTCAATGAATAATTATGGGAAGTAGGAAAGCTCTCGAGATAGGAGATAAATGAGTGATCTTTGAAACACGTCTACTGCAGCTTTAATGGGATGGTGAAACTGAGAAAAGGATGAGAGTTTTAACCTGACAAGGGTACAAGCCAAGATAGCCGTCATCTGTCATACTTCTCACCTCCAGAGATACCCCGCATCTATTCAAATCTCCCCCATCTCTTCAAAATCTGTCCTCCCATCCTCCTTCATCTCCTTTACTCCCGTATCCCTCCTCTTCTTCTCCCGCTCGATCATCTGACTCTCTGAGTCCACGCAGGGTTGATTCTGGAGGAGATTTAAAGCAGATTTAATGCAGATCCCTCGGAAGACTTCGCCAGGGCCGGGCCTAACCCATCGCGAGATGGATAAAAGTCAAGCGATTGGGGTTACAAGGAAAGTGAAATGTTAGTTGTTGATGAATATTGAGCGACTGATCCCGATGACAAATGTAATTTTATTCACGGAGTTGTAGATTTAGTTGATATGGATTCCTTTTTTAAGGCAGCTCTTGCTCAGTGAATCCAGTTTGGTTTCATTTATCTCCTCTCATTTTTACAAAATATCAAAACATCATATGTTTATAAAAACATGTCAGTTTTTTTAAACAAAAGGAAGAGAGAGAATCATGAAAGCCAAGTGGTATTGGGGAATGTGATTCCCTGGAAGTGTACGTCTATTTAAAGTAGAGTCACAAAACATGTTGTTATGTGACTGTAAGAATTGTGTGAATTCTAACCTGTACAGATATATAGTTTGAGTTTTTAGTAAGTAGCTATTACATAACAAAATTAATGATCTTTAGGTTGGAATTTAAAAAAATTCATCAAAATGAATAGTTGAGCAAATTAAGTGAAGTTCAAAAGTTATTGAGAAAAATAGTATTTTTGATCCTGCGAGAAGCAGTCATTCTCGGACTTGGAGGTTTTACGGTGAAAGTTTTCATTTGTTCATTTGTCTTTATAAATATAAATAAAAAACTTTTCATTTTCCAGAAATGTTAGATATTTGGCATCCCTCCTTTGAATAATGCAACAGCAACTTAGCAATGGTGAGAGTTAAGAAAGCCTGAACATGGCTGGATTTCTCAGTTTTCTTCCCAGAAAAGCAGATGGGGAAACAACTATTATTGCAGTGTTCCAAATTCTTTCTTTCTCCGACCACATTGAATTGATACCTGCTTTTCGCAAACCTTTTTAATGGGTATTGCGTTACCTCAAAACATTATCACAAGACATTTATCGGAAAGAGAAATACACGAAGTACAAGTAGATAAGAGAAATAAGGTTTTGTACAATGCTCATGCCCAGAGCATTGTTTTTAAGCTTCACGGTGTGGTTTATGTGTCTTTAGGAAGAAACATTTCAAAGTTTGTGGGACCGATTTTCCCACCTTTACCAATCAAAGATATCGATTGCAGCCCCGCTTCAGAGATGCGGGCAAAATAACATAAGGGATGCAAGCTGTCGTTCTAGTTTACTTTTCCATTTATTATTTTTCTTCAGATAATCCTTAATTCTTACTTAAATGTGAAAGGTAGAGATGTGAATGTTGAATATGGCAAAAAGAAATAGAGCCCCAGTGCTGCAGCTCCATTCCAACCCCTCCCTCTCTCACCCTCACACCAGAGCAAGATCGATTTCAAACTAAAGTGTGAGACCTGCAGTAAAAGAAAAGTTATTTATATTGGGCAGTTATTTTACTTAAGGAAATGTAACAGTTTTTGTAAGTTCTTTAACTCATGGTGCCTCTTGACTTTCTCACACCCCTCCTCCCCTCCCCCCTCTCTCTCTCTCTCTATCTTCTCTCTCTCTCTCTCTCTCTCTCAACCTCTCTCCATTTCTCCATTTCTTCTTCCTCATTTCTTCTCAATCTTCCCCTCTCCCCCTCTCTCTCCCCTCTCTCTTCCCTCTCTCTTACTATCTCTTCCCCCTCTATCTATCTCTCTCTCTTTAAGTTTCTTCTCCCTCATTTCTTCTCCCTCATTTCTTCTTCTTCCTACCTCTTCCCCCCCCCCCCTCTCTCTCTCTCTCCCTCCCTCCCTCCCTCCCTCCCTCTCTCTTTTTCTCCCTTTCTCTATTCACCCTCATTTCTTATCCTTCTTCCTCCCCCCTCTCTCTCTCTCTCTCTATTAGTCTCTTTCCTTTCTCTTTCTCTTTCTCTATACTGTGATGGAATCCCTGAATTACTCTTGAAATCAAATGAGCATAAAGTGACTCAACTTCTCCCCAGCTCCCGATTATTCCACCCTCTGTTTATTCTGCTGCAACCATATGTTTCTCAAAAAAGATGGTGTCAGAATATTTTTCTTCCAAAATCACCGGGAAGACATCTGCCAAGAGCCAGAAGGATGATTGTGTGACTCCGTTTTATAGGATTATGAGATAATTCTAGGTCCACATCAATCAAATGCGATTTTGTGCCATTTGTAAGCATCGCAATGCATTCTATGTAGACAAAGTTAAGGCCCTTCGGAGCCAGAAGGGCATTAACCAGATATTATTTCATACAAGTTTAACATCCTTCTACCTCTCAAACAGACGATTCTCTCAACAGACTATTTATGTCACAGCAAATATATACCCGCCGCAAGGGATACACGACTGCACCAATACGGTCTTCCCTTTCTCAAAACAAAACAAAACAAAAAAAGATACATTTGCCTCCACCTCCCCTCCCTTCTCCTGTTCGTTGGTAAACCTTCATGTATGTGTTAAGCATCCAGCGGCTGGCGCGACAATAGCTGCTGGGTGTTTACACAGTATATAAAACGCGCCCGGGGAGATTCTCGTTGAGAGCGATCTAAACCCATATTTGTCCTAGGTGTATTAAGCTGGGCATCAGTCACGGAGAGAGTGCAAATGTTTTCGCAGGTGGAAGAGGGAGAGGGGTGAGAAAAGATTGGGGAGGATGCTCTCTCTCCAAGAGGGTTTAGATACCGGTAGAGATGAGGAGATGGTAATCTCTATCATGATGCGGTGGTGTGCATGGGGGGGGGGGGGGGGAGGGGGACCTTTTGCTGGTTTTTGTTATGAATAAAAGATGGGAGACTTGATGTTGGCTTTCATGACAGCTTGAATTTTATCATGTTTAATGAAAATAGACAAAAATTATAGAAAAAACAGCTCTGGGTGAAAGGAGAAGGGGAAACAAAACAAGTTTCTGAAATCCAAGGATAGTGCATTTGAGAGTTATCGGCCGCTGTATTTAGGTTTAACCCCTTTTTTGCAGGTTGTTGAGCTTGTTGAGTATGAAAATGTGAAATATCTTGGGTTTTTTGTGTGGAGTGCATATTTGTTGTTGGTGTTGCTGAAATGTGCATTTTTACAAATTGAGTATTGTGTTTATGTGTATAATTGAGCAGTTTTACAGACATGTATCAACCAGATATGATTATTATTTACATCTGCAGACCAACCTTTAATCTCACCGTTCAAAAGATGCAACTCTGAATCAAACCATGGTTCATTGTCAATGCAGACCAGAGGGTCAGTCAACAAACTTTATCAAGCACTTTTGCCAGTTATTCAATGAAATTTTAATTAAATTTTGTTGTAATTGATAAAATATTGGATCTCTGCTTGATTTAACCAAAGAAAAGTTCATTTGAATTCATAAACTGGGGTATTAGATGGTATATACTGGAAAATTTCAACATTTGGAACATTTTCTGTTTGAATAATTGACAGTCTAGACTTTTAATGCATCTTAATTAATTGTTATTTAATTCTTGTTTTGTCCCTCCCCCAGCTGCCCCAATGTTCACCCGTGTACCGGTGGATCGGACCGTGGTCGTAGGTCAAGATGCGTTCTTCCTCTGCCAGGCCACTGGGCTTCCCACTCCATCAATCTACTGGAAGGAACGAGGTGCAAAGGTAAGATTAGTTCAAAGTTCAGAGTTCAAAGTCCATTAAAGCCCCACTGCACTACTTATAGCTACTCGCCCCTCTATATAGCAAACAATGCCTAATCGGTGACCATTGGTCCACCATGGTCCCCTTTTTCTTATGTTAATTGAGAGCTGATTTGATGAGTTAACCACCTGTCAGTGACTATGCAGGGAGGTCTAATCCCTCCTGGCCAAACTAGTGCAGATAGGCTTTAAAAGAAATAGACATTGGTGACATTTACAGAACATCACAAGAAAACACTCTTCCATATAAAACATTGTATAAGAGGCGATTCGCTTGCTCACTCCTGCCCCTCCCTCCAAGCTACGCACCTGCATTAAAATATATAGCTATGATGCTGACTAAGTTGAGGAGATCGTCATGCGAGAGCTTATATAGCCCTCAGATGTTAATTAGGAAGTTGTTATAAAGAAAATAAGTAACTGTTGTACTAAACTGAAACTTAAAACAGTTTATCAAAACAGTTTTATCAGTGTTCGATGTACTCTGAAAGTTGTTGTAACCCTGGTAAATACTGAGTTAGAGTGAGTGTGGGATTGAAACTGTTAAACATTGCTGCTGTATAGAAAAAATTCCACCTGCTGTACTGTCTCTCTCCATCCATCTCTCTCTCTCTTTTTTTCCCTCCATCGTTCTATCGTTCTTCTTTATTAATGTCCATCTGCCACTCTGCATATTTTTGTATTTCACCTGTTACATATTCTCCCTCTCATCATACAGACTCTCTCTCTCTTTCTTACGTTCATCTCCCCTGTCTCTTTTCCTCCTCCTCCTCTTCTCACTCTCACTCTCTGGCCACTTGTCACTGTTACCCCTGCCAGCCGGTTACCTGTTCAATATGACACACACAATATCATCATTCTGTTTACTCATCCACATCCATCTAAACATCCTCGTATCAATCACCCACTTCAGAGGCCCTTCCCGTCCGAACACCTTGCCTCAATAATCGCATACCTGTTGCCGACCATTCGATTACGAGGGCGCGGGCCGAAAGCCGCGGCGCCAGATACCTCCCATTTGCATTTCCCGTCATGTTTCGCCTTGTCTGCGCGTCAGACGAGGGCTGGAGCGCGTCTTTCGTGAGTCACGGCGCTAAAGAGCTGGATTAGGATCCGTCAGCTGGGGTTCGTGAAGATATGTGTCGAGAGTGTCACTGAAGCATGTCAGGTCCTACAGATGAGAGGGGTATGGAGTACTCAGAAAATATAGGTCAAATTCAGCAGCAATAGGAAATTAAATAAAATTTCACAGAGGAGAAGAACAAAATCCATCTCACAAAATGCTTTATAGAAAGAAATCACATGTACAATTTTACAGTGTGATATATTATTGAAGAATTATATATGATGCAGTAACAATAAAGAGAAGCAAAGATATTTGGGAGAGTGACTGTACTGCTGGATTCTCTCATTTCCATAAATTTGGTACAGTTCATATAGACTGTGGGTTACATATTTGATATAGGCCCAGTTGGAGAATTTAAAGATATGTAGAATAAATGGATAGAGAGGAAAATAGGGGAAATTAACAAATATGTGTGTAAATAATCGAGAGAAATTCACAAAAATATCAGGTTATTTCCGATTGGGAAACGAGTGGTGAGAGAAAGCACATAATAAGACGGAAAGGCGATAAAACTCACAGATAGTAATGAAATAAAATAATCGTGAGAAACTGCTCTAATTTCATGATTATAGGAGGGTCAGATATCCACCCTGTAGCTACTGTATCAACTGTCAAATCTGTGTTGTCACCATTTTCAAATTTGTTGGAAAATTGTTTTGACTTCCGTGGCCACCTGTGCGAGATTGGCGTGCTTGCCTTCCAAATGATCACAAATGAGGCTAATAGCTTTCAGCGATACTCGTGTCATTTATTAAAGGATGATGTACAGTTTAATGAATTTATTTAAAAAAAAGAATAAAAGAAATGAAGGGAAAGAAAAGAAGAGGTAGATGTAGGAAAGATCAGACTGTTGTTGAAAAGAGGCAGAAAGTGTGAGAGTGAATGAGAGAGAGAAAGAGGGGGGGGGGGGGGGGGGGGAGAGAGAGAGGAGGGGAGGAGGGGAGGTGGGGAGACTGTGTTACAATTAGAAGGGGAGAAAAATTGAGGAAAAGAACAAGAAAATATGTGAGATGGAGAAAGAGACATAAAGGGGAGTGCATGGAAAGATAGAGAGGGGGTACAGAGAAAAGGAGATGAAATAAGAAGAATGAGGAAGTGATAATAAAGAAGAATAGAAAAAGAAGAAGAAAGAAGTTGGTGGTTGTAGTAGTGATCATGATAAAGAAAACAAGAAACAAAACAACCAACAGAGGTGGGTAGAGAGATGTAGAGAACGAGATCAAGAGCGAGGGAAGAAAAAAAAACGGGCGAGAAGGGGAAGGGGTTGAATATGGATGCCATGATTTGCAGTCGCTCAAATGTCAAATTCTTCAGGTCCATATTTGATTTCAGAAGTCATTTGCAATTCCAAGTGTCTCAGAGAAGACCCAGTTTCCTTTAGAATTTCTAAACGTGTTTGTATCCCTCCATTCTCTGCCCCCTCCCTATCTCTCTCTTTCTCTCTCCCTCTCTCCCTCTCTCTCTCTCTCTCTTTCTTTCTGCTTTCCTCTCTCTTTTGCTCTCCCAAGTATGACACCTACTTAAATTGATAATTTTGACATAATGCTTATACCCCTTCTCTCCCTGTTTTCCTCTCTCTCTCTCTCTCCCTGCTTCTCTTTCTCCCATCCTTTTCTTTCCTTCTCTTTATACTTTCCCTTTTCTATCTCTCTATTTTTCCCTCCCTTATTTTCTGTCTCTCTATTTTTCTCTCCCCTATTTTCTGTCTTTCTCTCGTTCTCTTTCAAAACGGACACCTGTTTCTAAAATTGGCAATTTTGATTTCTTGGACACTAACGCCCAGATAAAGCAGGTGCTAGCAGTGTTGGAATCTTTTCATTTTGTGATAGCTTTTTGTAACCGCGCAAAAATGTGACAACTTTAATGCAAAGAAAATGACAAATACAATATTATTGATTCAGAATAAAGCAGGTGATACAAGAAATAGCTTTTATATTTCTTTATCCCGACACGTCTAAGCTTCAGCAATTTCCAGCAAGTTAAAGAAATGTGATGGATTTTCATGACACTCATACTTACGCTTGCACATCACGTAAAGATAAAATACATTTATCTTTCAGGTTCCAAATGTGACAAGTAAAAAGGGGGAAGAAAATTTGACAATTTGAAATATCGGAGTATGGTTTATTGTTGTTTTTCACACCCTCTGCACTTTTATTTCACCCTTATATTTCAGAAAATGTGACATTTGAGTTTTCCCATGAGACACTGTGTCAATATCGAGGAAAGCAACAACTTAGTAAAACTTTTGTTATGGTTCATTGAAAATCACAAAAAGTGAAAAGAAAAGTCATGAAATTTTATTTGACAGTAAAATGTACTGAGATCATGTCTTTTCCTTGCAATTTAATATTTTTCTCCTTCCTTATTTTTTTTAATTCTTTTGTCTATCTCTTCTTCTTCTTCTTTTTCTTTTTTTTCTCCCTCTTCTTCTTTTTCTTCTTCTCCTTCTTTCCTTCTTCTTCTCTATTTTAAATCAAACTTGCATACTCTCCCTATCTTTCAAGTGCTATAGTTGTGAGACAGACAAAATATTTCCCTAACGTTAGGTTGGACAGATACTAGGCTATTTGTTAAGTTTTGACATGATATTTAATGATGAAATAATTACACATTATGGTTACAATAGATGTAAAGATATATTTTTAAGGCAGGGTGTTCTACCAACATTATTGCTCTATGTATGCAATTACAGCAATGATCCTAAATTTGACCCTTGTGGTACTCCACATTTAATGATCTGTGGAGATAACTGAACACCATTAACGGCAGTGATGTTGATAAGATACCCTGCCTTTTAAAGTTTCTAACAATATATGTAACATTTGTCATTAAAGTTTCTACTTTTTTTTGTCTCTTCTGCAGCCCCTCATGTTCCCTGGTGACCGTAACGCACAATTCGAGGTGACCAATGACGGTCGGCTTCACCTTTTTTCGGTCACGCGAGAGAACGAGGGATACTACGTCTGTTCGGCGATGAGCGGAAGGGGGTCTGTCGAGGATTCTGCCTATCTTAGGGTTCTTGGTAAGTGAAGCTTTATCCAGTCTGAAGGATGTTCACTCATATCCCTTAACACAGAGTTTAGACCCCTCTGGTTCTGAGTAGATGATATTCTGGGATAGTTGTGTATTTGTGCTGTATTATGACATTTGTGATACATGTACTGTAAATTTGTTTACAGTGTCTTTTTTTGTGTGTGTGTGCTTCATACTACAATATTGGCATTCTGTAAATAGCATGAAGTATACCCCCGCTAAAATGCAATGCCTTTTTCAAATTTTGAGGTTGTTTCTCTTCTTTTCAACTTTGTACTACAACCCCAAAGTCAGAATGTCGTAAAAAAAGACCTTTTTAGTATATTACTGGATTGGTTGAACTTTAGGTTTTTAGGTCTGCTAAATGGACAGACAATCTTTAAAGTTCTCCCTCGTTGACTTAACAGCAGTCCCTTCCATAACTCGAGGACACTAGAGATGTCATCCCCCCCCCCTTCCCCTCTTTCTTTTTTCCAAGTAATTCCTTTCCTCTACCTACTCTGCCTATGGACATGTCACATTGGTGACTTCACATGTTTCGCCATCAAATTTACATGGAGACTACTGTCTGAAGTTATCCTTTACGAAAACATGATATAGCAATGGAGACATCTTGCCCTCCTCCCCACCCCCTCCCAAACATGACAAAAAAAGAGAGAGAAAACCAACGCAGTTGAACTGTGCAACCTGCTTGTGCACACGAACAGACAAGTCACTGACTCGCCTTGTTATTAAATGCCGTCGTCGACAGAAACGTAAACGCCACTTAGGGAGTTCCTTTGATCTGCAACTGAGCCGCGCTGGAGAACCCGATCATCCCCGATCGCCCCGCTGTCGATCTCGCGCGATTGTCCCTGGGAAGTTGGTAGGGGGATGCGTCTTAATTAGCATGCTGTCCGATTCGCTTGATTGTTGGTCGACCAGCTCAATTTGGACTTGGTTTGTTGGATGTATTCTTCTTGTTGGCTTGCATATGTCCCCTCACTCTTTTTCCTTCTCTTCCATCCCCCTTTCCTTCTCCACCCCTCTCTTTCCTACCATTTTTTTCTTTCACTCTTCCTTACCCCAATCTTTCTCTGTCTTTTTCTATTGCTCTCCCCCTCCCCCTTCTCTCTTTTTCTCTCTCTCTCTCTCTCTCTCTCTCACCTCTCTGTCTTCAATGATTGTTTTCTCATTGCTTTTTTCCTATTCTCTATCAGTTTGTTTCTTGTTCAATCTGGCAGCTAGAAATTTCCAAGTAGGGGCCCTTTTTCATTGACATAAAGTATGTTTGAAATTGCATTTTTTTAAACAATTAAACAAAATTGTATGTCAGAAAACGAGCTAACAAGCTAAGGAAAAGATGTAAAAAATCTCACAAAATTTGCCAATTGAAAATGATGAGCCTTCGTAGCTTGCCTGAAGCTTGCCATTTATTAAAGACAAATGATCCCCCTGCTTGGTAAAGATAAGATAAAGAGTATCATTTGCTAGCCTTCCGGTTGCTCTCCATTTTGGTAGTGGTTTCACGTCCTTCACTAATATACCACCACGGATCAAAGCATCATCCGTTTGAAACGTTCTCTCCTCCAAATCTTCCCCGACACCTTACACGTTACGGGGACCGACATCGATTCCGAGGTTGACCACGGCACTGGGCAGATGCTTGTCGGTGAGGTGCGGCGGTGTTTGGTTTCAAGATGCAGGATGTGCGACCCCGTTGACAGGGGAGCGCGGCCCCTCGCGCGGGGGCGCAACGGTATACCACCGGTGGTGACCTGAGGTATCGCCGGTCTTGGGTGTCAATCATCCGAGATGGGTGGGAGGGGCACCCCTGGAAGTAGATGGAATGGAGGTAGAAGATGAGAGAGACAGAGAGACCGATAGATGAGAGATGAGAGACAGACAGATGAGAAAGAGAGAGACAGAGAGAGAGAGAGAGAGAGAGAGAGAGAGATAAGAGGGAGAGAGAGAGAGAGAGAGACAGAGGGAGAGAGAGACAGACAGACAGATGAGAGGGAGAGAGAGAAAGAGAGACAAAGACAGAGACAGATGAGATAGAGAGAGACAGACAGATGAGAGAGACAGAGAGACAGATAGATGAGAGAGAGAGTGAAACAGATGAGAGAGAGAGAGAGAAACAGATGAGAGAGAGAGAGAGAGAGAGAGAGAGACAGATGAGAGAGAGAGAGAGAGAGAAACAGATGAGAGAGAGAGAGAGAGAAACAGATGAGAGAGAGAGAGAGAGACAGATGAGAGAGAGAGAGAGAGAGAGAGAGAGACAGAGAGAGACAGATGAGAGAGAGAGATGGATATGGATGAGAGAAGGATAGGAAAGATGATTAGAAGCTAAGCTGTCATTTCACTTTTGACTTTAACAGTTGGAAGACAGTTCTTAGAAGTTACTGTATGGCGTATCTTGTTGACATTGTTGTTTAACCCTTTCAGGAAGAATTTTTTTCATTTTCTGTCACTTTCTCAATTTGTTGTCCCATGTTTGTGTGGACATGTACATGTTTCTCTCACATTTGTCTTTCTAGCTTTCTTTTTCTTGTCTGTTTTGTCTGTCTTTATCCCTTTTCTTCTCCTCCTCATCTTTGTGTAAATTTTAGGGGCCATCAAGAATATATATCATGGGTTTTCATGCCCCCCTCCCAGAATCATCTTTTTTCCTCTTACTCAATATAACATTCATTTAAACCATTAAATCTTGGGGTTGTATCCAAGATAATGCGGAAGGGAGTCTAAGGACATATGGTATGTGTTATACCAGAGAATAAAATCCTATTCAACTGGTTAATAACTCAGATAACATCTCTCACTCTCGTTATTACCCATCTCCTTCCTCTCATCTTGCAGCTTTGAGATGCCATCACCTCTCCGCATCCAAGTTCGAGGTCAATACCCCCTCTCTGGTAGCCTCTATTAAACCAATCTTCATTCCCTTCTTGTATGTCTGATAGAGAATCCGAGTTGGGCTCTGCCCTGGGCTCCTATCGATGTGTTTGGGGAACACTTTAACCTAGTTTAGCTCAAATTTACTCTCATCACCATCATCATTTAAACCTCTTCATTCGTTTGCTATTCTTGGTCTCTTCTTCATCTTAGCTTTTGCTATTTTTGTCTTACATGTATTTGCCATCTTTTACTTTCTCTCCCTTCTCTCTATTTAAGTACAGTATCTATGTCTGCCTCTTTATTTATCTATCTATCTATCTATCTCTCTATCTGTCTTTTCATGCTTCCATCTATCTTCATCTCTCTCTCTCTCCCACGCGTCTCTCTATTTATTTACAGTATCTATGTCTGCCTCTCTATTTATCTATCTCTCTATCTATCTTTTCATCCTTCCATCTCTCTCCATTTCTCACTCCTTGCAGTGTATCTACCTTCCAGACTTTTCTCAATTTCTCTCTCTCTTTTCATTTCTCATTTTCACCCAATGTCTCTCTCCATCTCTAAATCCCCTTTACTTTTTATTTCCTTCAGGATTTTTTTCTTCTTCATTTCAGTTTCTCTTCCACCCTTTTATTCCTATTGCTGTTAATCTACAGGCTCTATCTCTCTCTCTCTCTCTCTCTCTCTCTCTCTCTCTCTCTATCTCTATCTCTATCTCTCACTCTCTCTCTCTCTCTCTCTCTCTCTCTCTCTCTCTCTCACTCTCTCTCACTCTCTACCTCTCTTTCACTTCCTTGTTCTCAATCTGTGTCTAAACATAAATTCTTTCCAGCTTTTAATTTGCCTTTACCTTTTGTTTTAATACCCATTTCCTCTTACTAATGTTCTTATCCCCATACCATTGAAGAATTGTCAACAAATCCACTAATAATTACTTTCATCATAGCTTTAGAATAGCAGATATCAGAAGGGGTAAATTCTGTTGTGATGCAGAGTACATTCATTATTTCTAGACGATACTTTGGATTGAAGGATGCAATATACAACCCTTTGTTTTCTTTCTCCAGACGATAACCTACCCCTACCGCCCATCATCCACATCGGACCGTCCAATCAGACGCTAGTAGAAGGGAGCCCCGCCCAACTGATATGCCAAGCAGAAGGACGCTCCCAACCGTCCATCGACTGGCTGAAAGACGGAGCGCCTTTACAGCTTGTGGGAACCAGGTACGTAGCAAAGCAATATCTACAGCTAACTCTGTTAAAGGGATCGGGTAATTTTGCTTCAGTTTCTGATTATCAAGATATCTATGATTGGATTTAGAAATTTCAGAATTCTTAACGGTTTGTATAACACTACAGTCTATTGGGGGAAATGAGTATGGTAAAACCGGTCACTCTAAGATTGTTACTTTTTTGATGCACTTTATGATCAATTTGAAGCACAATTTTTTTAGGGCTTCAATATTACAACATAAGACAAACACTGATAACATGTAGGGCCATGCATCTCAGATTTAACATTGTTAAACGATGCCTTTAAGCAAGGTGACAAATTTTCCAATACTGTATCTACATGCATGAAGTATATAAATATTATACCTTTATATTCATATATTCATATTAAAAATTGATTGGTCATATATACAAACATGGACATATGTTTGGCTTAAACTCATTTCCTGGCTGCTCTGTAGATATGTGAGAGGTATCACTGAGATTTTATTTTAAGATAGGATTGAAAATTTACCCAATGCCCAGTGTGTTTGCAATAATTATCTTATGGTGAACGTATAATAATCTACATAAAGCATCTCTTAAATATAAAAATATTCAAAACCCTGTTGGAAAAATGAATGAGAAAAGGTACTCCGTAATGTACCTCACAAGCTCTTTGTACTTTTGGTGTGAATTCCTTCTCAAATACAAATATGACGAGATTTTGTACCAAGTGTACTTCTCGATCGTGCAGGAGGGGAAAAGAGAATTTTCCTTCTCTGCTTCAATTTCTTCCACTGCGCTGCCTCTCATCAACAGTAAATTGCATTAAGAACCAATACTATATTTCTTACGCCATAGTTATCTCAAGTCTTTCAGAACCAAGAGAGAGAAAGATAAAAAGGGCTGAATACATTCTTGAAAAGAAAGGAAATGAAATACAGCTAGGAGAGAAAGAAATAAAAGATATTCTGAGAACTATTATTCTGGCATTATTCACTCAAGACTGCACACTTATGGTAGAAATGAGGGGTGTAAGTTGATTAAAAGAAATTTGCGACGACAAAATGACGTGTTTCCCTTCGCCGGTGTGGTCTGTCTGGAAGAAAAAAAAGCAGTCAATATACTTACATTGAAAGATGAATACCTCAATTGCATGTTAACTCTTCCAGTACCATTGCCTTCTAAACCATGTATAAAACCATGTAGATTTTATTCTTGTGGGGTTGGGGGTTTTAAACCATATGGGGGAAAATGATACAGGGAATAACACGAATGTAGAAAGTCATTGCTATGATGAAAGTGCATATAACTTGCATGTAAGCACTTTCAGAGTATTTTTTATATTAATTTGAATCTGTTTTTGTAAGCGCCTTAAGCGGCAGCTGGTTGAATTTGTTGGGCATTATGAATGTCTGCATGTAATAGATCAATTTTGTTTTGTTCATCTATGTTCCAATTCCTCTTTCTGCTTACCGGTTTTGTTTATTGTTTTTCTCACTCATATGTTACATTGAATGAGGAGGAAAAAAAAAAAAAATAGCAAAAAGAGAAAGTAACGTAAGAGTGAGAAAAGAGTATGCAACTCAAAATATGTCAATTTTGGTTTCAGGTTTAATTTCATGAATAGATTGTATATGATCTAAGTTATGATAAACACGTAAATGCTTGTGCATTTCCCCTTTCTCTTCATCTTAGAGAGAGAGAGAGGGCAAGTGTAACAGAGATTCAGAGAGGTTAAAAGGTACCATGAGATAGAAAGCAAAAAAATGTAATGTACTGCAAAAAAAAAGAGATATTGAGAAAGAGAGAGATATATATATATATATATATATGTACAGACAGATAGAAAAAAAGATGACTTAAAAAAAATTAAAAAAACTATATTGAGAGAGAGAGAGAGTAACATGTACAGACAGGTAGAAAAAGATGATTTGAATAGACTGCAAAAGAAAGAGCTATTGAGAGAGATATATATATGTACATTTACAGACAGGTAAAAAAATATTATTTAAATAGACTGCAAAAGATCAAGATATTGAGAGAGAGAAGGCTATATATGTACAGACAGATGAATATTCAATAAGGGAGAGAGAGAGAGGGAGGGAAGGAGAGAGAGAGAGGGGGAGGGGAGCAGGGAATGTACGTACATATCCCATTTTCTACATTCAATGTATTAAAAAAACTTACAATATCCAAAACCAAAACTTATGCCTTTTATTTCATTCTTGAAACCTCCTCCTCTCAGAATCACATTGGATGGGTCAGGAACGCTCAAATTCTCCTCCCTGACGCCGGATGATGCAGGAAGTTACACCTGCAGTGCTGCTAACAGCGTAGGAGCAACCAAATGGTCCTCATCACTCCAAGTCATCAGTAAGTCACCATCTCCTAGGGGGGGAGGGGGGCGTTTCACAAAACTGGTCATCAGTGAAAATTGATATTATTTGTTATAAGCTACTGAAATCCTTGCTTCCAATTGGTAATCAGCAGATTTGTCACTGATTTTTGTCATTTGTCATTGAAAAAAGACTTTGTTGTGTCGTTTAAGTACTTGACTGGAAATGGAAAGGTCATGGGTTCGATCTCCAGCACTACTCCCTAGGGAGTGGAGATGGTGCACAGTGTACCTGAAGAAACCTGATGACCAGGGTAATAACATCCGCAAAGCGTTTAGAGAAAGTATTTCGTATAAAGGGCTATATAAATAATGATTTTTTTTTTTTTCAATTAAAAAAAATGGGGGGGGGGGAGGTATTTATCTAACCAAAATGTGAATATAGGAGAGAAGAAGATGATCTTTTTTTCTTCTCTGCTTTCTTCCCCTTCATTCCTGCTCCTCTCTCAAACCCTATTTCTCTCCCTCTCTCTCTCTCTCTCTCTCTCTCTCTGTATTTCTCTCCCTCCCTCCCTCCCTCCCTCCCTCTCTCTCTTCCACTCTCTCTATCTCTATCTGTCACTCAGGTGCTTAAATATTAAAATTTTGTGAGGAAAATATTCTACAAGATATTTCTTAATTGTGATGATTTCTTTTCTATTTTCCTTGGGGGGGGGGGGGGGGGGTTATGAAGACTTGTATCTACAACAATTTTCTCAATGCAACCTGTAGAAAATACTCCACATTGAGAATTTCAACCAAATATGAGTATAAAGCCATTTTATCACACAGCAATCTACCTGTACTTTACCCTTGAACTGTATTTCATCTTTTCACCAGGGAGAGCATTTGCAGGAACGGAGCAGGTGCACGAAGCTCCAAGCGTAACACAGCTACCTCAGGCACCAGGGTTTCCCATCGTTGATAACATCACCAGGACGACCATGAGGCTCACCTGGCCTAGCGCCAGGCCCCTGCCAGACAGGACAGTGTCGCTGACTGGATACAGGGTGGAGTACTTTACTCCGGATAGAATAACAGGTGAGGAAGGAGGATAAGGAGATGGAGATGGAAAGATAGATTGATTGATAGATAGATCACCCTATATTGAGGGTAGTCATGCTATCAAGCTTTGCTCACTTTGTAAACCCTCCTGTTTGATGTTTTCGATTAGTGACAGCTAGCCTTACTTTATTTTCATATATTCTTTTGTCATGTGTAAAATTTGCAATGTTTGCTTGTTTTATATTTGTAAAAGTGTGAAACAAAAAAAATCAAACAGAAATAAAATAAATAAAATAAAATAAAATGTTCTTCCTCAGGATGGACAGTGGCTGCTGTACGCATCCAAGGAAACTCCTTCGAGGTACGGAACCTAGAACCAGGGTTCACGTATGTCTTCATGGTACGAGGGATCAACGCCCACGGCTACGGCCCTCCGAGCCCCGTCAGCATAGCTGCTAACACCCCTACCGGTACCCATCGCGAGGTGCCGGGCCCCAACGCGGAGCCAGGGGTCACCACACCAGCTACAGAGGGTAACAATTTTTTATTCTTCTTCCTTTTATTCCATTTTTGTTTATTTATTTCCAATGACATACAATACATAATAACGAATTCAATGTAAAATGCATACAAAACATTACGTTTGTAATAAACAAATCTTAACAGTAATTAGCACATTTGAGGAAAACAAAAATTGAATTATGAATTTAACTGCATTTATATTTTGAGGAAATGGAGAGGTCCACTGAAAAGCAGAGCTTGTAAATTGTGGACCCCTCAGATAATAATGAGTGTGAAAGAGTATAGAAAACATTAGCAATCAAAGAAGAATAGCGGTCAACAGAGACCACATTTATTAAAACACGTACCGTAATGACAGGAAACAAGCACCCTGCCCTTTTGATCGTCCACCTTGTCTTTTTACCTCAGATTTTGCTCTAAAATCTCATTCAGGTGTTAAAAATGTTAGGAACATTCACATTAACGTTCAAACAATATTGGAGTTTTGCATGATATACAGATATATGGAATAAGATATTTACAAAGTCATAATTGTTTAATGTCATCAAAAGTAACCGTCATGTTTAAGCTGAATTGCTGGATGAAAACACTGAATTTTGGGGGGTAGTTGTGTAACATCACGGATATCTCCAATTCCGTTTAACCGCCTGTCAAAACCGGACGGTTTTCGGTTAAACGATTTATTTAAGGGGGGCCGTGTGAAAAAGCAGGAAGGTGATTTAACTGAAGGCGCCGATTTGGGCTTGTGAACTAGTCACAAATAATAGTAACAATGTCGTTTTAGAATAATGTGTAAGATCATTAAAGTAAATTGAAAACAGTAGAGGACCTAGGATAGAACCTTGTGGTACACCATGTGTTAAACTTGGATGAATATATATTGAGATCTATTACAAAGATTACTTTCAAACCAAGATGACAGACAAATTGGAGTGTTGTTCTAGTTTCCAAGTGGTAAGTCATCACACCGATTACTGAGCTGGGAGACATTGCCAGGTGGAGGGGCATAAATCGGAAACTTAAAAAAAAAAAAAAAAAAAAAAATTAAAAAAACAAAAAATTAAAAAAAAAAAAAAAAACAGGAAAACGAAACCGTCCAATTGAAAACGGAATCCGCCATGGGCGGTCGGATACCGGACGGTTAAACGTTTGACTACAGCACTAGTTGTTGTTGCTGTTGCTTTAATGTTATTTTCATTGTTATTACAATAAAATTTCGTCATTTGACTCTGCTTTCTTAACATACAGGAGCTGAAAGCCGGGATATTCTGCAAGATAAGTTGGATAACTGTGGGGTCTATATCAAGAGAGTCCAAGTTCTCGGCACACAAGCCATTAACGTCACATGGCAGGTAAATGATGCTTCCCCAAATCGATGTATTACATGTCTAGCAATCATTCATGAAAACATGACATTTCAACATTTGCCAGCTGCTATTCATTTACAGATTTGCTGCAGCTTAATTTGCCATATCTGAGCAAGCCTTTATTCCATGAAAATGAAAACATGTTAGAAGCACATTAATTTTTTCATGATTAATATCATGGAAGATTTTTCTTGTCCAATCTTTGTAATGTTATGGAAATATAATATCAGAATACGTCTCTAAAATAATATTTTTAAGTAATGAACGATCATTATCATGGTGGCTTGAATATATTAACTTCACATTCTTACATTGATATCTTCCCAGATTATTCGTAACGGGGATTACATCGACGGCTACTACCTCAAGGTGACTCCCCAGGTCAAGGCTCCGGGCATCTTTGAGATGAACCGAGTGGTCAACGACAAGACCGCCGTCCAGGGCGGGCTGCAGCCATGGACAGAGTATGCGATCACCATTCAGCCATACCACGGGGCATGGCATCGAGGCAGGGAGAGCAGGAAGGTGGTCATAAAGACAGCCCAGGATGGTGAGTCCAGAGTGGAGAAGTCTTTGTGACCAGGCCTGATAAGAACCCAATTTAAATCGGTTTCCCAATTTTTTCCCGATTTTTTTTCTCTGCCCTTTTTTTTTTAACCAGATTTGTTGTTGTTTTTGTTTTGTTTTTACCTGATTCCCCCCTATTATTTCCCAATTTTTCTTACTCAAAAAGGGGGGGGGGGAATGTTGTTAGATGTTTTTTTCCACGAATCCTCTTTTTTTTTTTACTCAAGGGGGGCGTCGTTAAGGGGGTTAATTGCTCACTTTCACCCCTGCATATTCTCGTTTAGAAGTTGGAGCTGAAAGTGGGTCTCCTTGAAGAAATACAGTCAAACCTGTCTATAGCGACCACCCAAGGGAAACACAAAAGTTGGTCTTTGCAGATGCAGGTTCCTTTAGTACATATTTCAATGAGAAACTAGGATTATGATGTTGAATGCTTTGGAGGATGTTTTTTTTTATTTGTACTTGAGTATATGGGTTCTCAACAAGCATATTCTTGGGCTCATTCGTTAAAAGATGAAGCTAATTGTCAAGAAGTGGTTTCAATCGATCATGTGACTGATTGCCATCACTGTAGCCAAGCACTTGTTACATATATGTTGTTGTGTTGACCCTCCCTTGTCTCTTGATTGCTGTACATGTGACTTTTCAGTCAAATATTAATTCAAGTTATTTGATAGTCAAAGAGCATTGTAGAACATGACTGTGATGCACTTCTTACCAGTATCTAACAATGAGGGAGAATCTTCGATATTGCAAAAGTGGCAACACTTCTTCAGCAGTTAGGATGCATAGTGAGAAAGCCCTAAAATTGACAACTCAAACAAATTCATTAATTGACAATCTCCTCCCCCCCCCCCTTGAATCTCACTTGCGGAGTACCCCAAGGAACATTATTAGGTCCTGTCGTTTTTCCTGTCATGATCAATGACATTGCTCTGCCCTCTAAAGTGACTCGGTAAGATCAAACAATATCAAAGAAATAAAAAGTATCCTGAAAGTTCAAGCAACCAAATGTTTATTGTTCATTCTTTTGTATAGTTCCAAGAGCCCCGCCAAATTCGATCAAAGCTCGTCAGAACGGTTCCACGTCCATCAAGGTCAGCTGGCGCCCTCCCGCAGTCAACCAGGTCCCTGGGATCATCGCTGGATACCACATCTTCTGCCTCAGCGAGAACCCGCCCCATCATCCCAACATCACCACCAGGAATAACCGCACGTTGGAGGTCGCCGTCCCTAACCTCCGACCCGGAGCACAGTATGGGGTTAAGGTCGCGGCCTATACCATCGCAGGGATGGGACCCTTCAGTGATATCGTCTACGTCACCCTGCCTCCAGGTAAAGACTGGTTTCTTTTTTCAGAATTTACCTTTCAAATATAGAACAGGTTTTATGTGTCACAATGAAAAAAAAAAAATCATCATTGTGTACAAATTTCTTATGTTGTATGATGTAATTCATTGCAACATAAACATGTACTTCTTACAGGAATGTTAAAATTTAAAAAAAAGACAGTGGCAATAATTAAGCCTCTTCTTTATTAAGAAATATCATCATCATCATGGAGGTGCGATAGCTCATTTAGTAGAGCAGTGGTCTCGTAAGCCGGTGACCCAGGTTTGAAACCAAGTCGATGCGCTAGTGCCCTTTGGTAAGGCATTCATCCTCATTACCCTTAGAGAGGTCCTAAAGCCGTCGGTCCTCTGGTTGCTTACTAACAAGCATATAATATGCTTTCTTAGCAGTCGGATAAAATAACCACCACTACTACTACTATCATCTTCATCTCCATCTTTATCTTGTAGGTCCTGATGACCCAGAGAAGAGAGGCAGTAATGACGGTCTGGACTCCGGGGGTGGGATGGACATCTTATCAGAGCCCTGGTTCTATGCGGCAGTGGCCCTAGCCCTCCTCTTCGTCATCACATCAATCTTTCTCCTCTTCTGGCGTCGTCACAAGAAGAAACCTTGCTCGCCTGTTGGAAATGGTAGGTCAAGGGTCAAAGTCAAGTTATGAAGGTCATGGTCAAAGTCATGGCCTCAAAATATTGGTCTTTGAAGGGCTAGATCAGAAGCTGAATTTGTCATGATCATTGCCAAAATCTCAAATTTAACCCTACTCAACCATCCACAATTATCCTAAACTAAAAAACAGATGGAATACATACAAACATTTTGAATCAAGCAAATGAGCTTTCATAAGAATAAGGCAGTTTTCATTTCATCTCTGAAAATGTTTTAAATTAAAAAAAATTATATATAAATATAGTATGATGTAAATAAAATTTATTCACAAACTTTTTTTATATGGTTAATTTTAATTTCCTTGTTTAACATTTAATAAAACTTCTAATAATTGCTGTCCTGAATATCAGCTTTTCTTCAAATCAACTTTTTCTTTGTTTTCTTCCGATTTTTTTCTACAGGTATGATAAGCAAGGACAATGTTACAGTTCAAAATATGTGAGTATACTAATTGCCTTTTATGTCAAGTTTCTGTATGTAAACTGTGTATATTTGTTGTGTGCATGCTTCCCTATGGAGAAGAACTGCAACAATTATTAGAATATCACTGCTGACTTTGGAAACTTAGATCAATTAAGATCAATTAAGATCAATCAAATATCACTTTACAATTTTCATTTTGACATTCAAAGTATATAAATTCATTGATTCAGCTTCTTAGAATGTCCTGTTGATAGTATTCATAGACATCTTTTGTTTCACATACACACTCTCTCTCTCTTTCTCTCTGTCTGTCTCTTTGTCTGTCTCTCTCTGTCTTTATCTCTCTCTTTTATGTTTTTGTAGGGCTGCTAGACCAACTCAATCAAGAGCTGATGTCTATTTTAACATTTGGAATGGATTAATTCATTGATAATTTGTTAGAATATCCATAAGTATCATTCAGGGACTTGATTGTTGTATCTACTCTCCCACAGCTTTTTATCTTGCCTGTCATATCTATATATTTCAAAACTTTGTACATATTTTCTGTACATTATACTTGATTTAAAATCTTTAATTTTTGGGGGTGTGTAATCTACGCTTATACGCTTGTATACAAAAAAAAAATCTAAATTGTTTTTTGATGTAAATGTGGAACACATAAACTTCAAACTCCTCTCTCTCTCTCTCTGTTTTTACAGGGCCGCAAGACCGACTCAGCTGAATGGGACGGCTCATCCGGAAGGGGAGCACACATGGACTTCCAATTGTCCTCCACACTCACATAACCACCAAGGTACAAACAAAATCCTTCAAATTTAACATTTATCTTTTATTTTTTATAAAGAATGTTTTTTACAAGAATGGGAAATGCATGTTCAACTCTCAATTTCAAATTGTCAAATCACACAGCACAGTCCAAGCCCAACAGTATAACCCTGTAGCTTATTGTGTCTTCTTCAAAAGGAATATACCTAGTATGACCAAATATGGCAGTCTTTTGATTTGGAATTCATAGGTAATTGTTGCACGGGCAATAATGTGCATCTGAATATATATGGGGAGTGTTTCACAAAGATTAAGATCGACTTAGAGTTCGACTTAAATATGGCAGGCCGTTCATGCCACTATTTCTCTTACCATTTACTTGCATTGGTCTCTCAAGGGACATACAAATAATGGTCACAAATCTACAGAATTTACATTCTTTGATAGTTCATTATTAAAGGAAAAAATATTATCTACAGATCATAATGGTGAGAGCAACCAGTGGCATGAATGGCCTGCCATAGTTAAGTCCAACTTAAAGTTGATCTTAGTCTTTGTGAAACACTCCCCAGGTCATATAGATCATAAATACAAGAAGACATGTGAAGAGACTTGAATTAACTTGGTGGGGAATGTTCTCTTTGGACAGGTTGTATGGGTAACTGCTGTACAGGCAATGGTTCCTCCGGAGACGACACCCTAGAAAAGAACAAGGCCCCTCCGGCATCTAAGTGGCCCAACGGTGCCCCGCCTGTCTGGCTTCAAGAAGTTTACAGTAAGCAACAAACAAACGAATCATCAATAAATAGCATTGATTAATAAACAAACCCCCAAAACGCAGAAAACACATCTATGATTATGATTTATGTCTTGATACAATAAGCAACAAAGAAACGAGTCATTAACAAATAGCATTGATATAAAAACACAAAATAAACACATCTATAATCATGATTTTTGTATTGATAGAGAAATTAATCTTGATGTATATTAATATCCATGTATGTAATATCTTTTCTACTTTCTATTGTGTATTTGAAAATTAATCTGTATTAAGAGTTAGCTGATTATTATATTTTCATCTTATCATGCATTTTGTAAAAAGATTGAAAAACTAGCTATTGCATGAAATTATTTGTAATCTTTTGACACAAATGAAATACTTTACACATGTACATGGAAATTAGATGAGTTTGGCACAATTGTTCACTATAGTCAAAGATGAATAGATGTAGAAATACAATAATATCATTTACCACTGTATATACAAGCTACATTGTTTATTGTTATTTTGTGATTACTTGCGAAACTATACCACTTTTTCTTGTTTATATAATTGTTTTATTTATGTATTGTGAAACAAAATGTTCATGTATATGAATGAATATACAGTAGGCTTGCGGTTGCACCATACGAGAGAGAGGGAGGATTGAGGAGTCCTGAAAAGGACTCTCAGTAATCTTTCTCGAGTGTGTGTAGTCCTGAAAAGGATGTGTTGGTGTAGTTGTTGGTGTAGACTCCTCAATCCTCCCTCTCTCTCACATGGTGCATCCGCAAGCCTACTGTATATCTACATCACCATGCAAGCCGATACTTACAAGCAGTATATGAATCAAGTTTACTTATACATTTAAATTCAAACAAATCAATCAATAATTTGATTTTTTTTTTCTTTCTCTGTTCAGATCCCAAATATCCATCCCACCTGCAGAGTCAGGTGAGCAAAGAGACGCACCTCACGCATGATAGTCAGAGCAGTTCAGGATTTGGTTCATCCTTCCCTACTCTGAGTACCTTCCATGGAATGATGATGCATCCAAGGTGAGAATCTCCATCGTGAAATCCTCCTTTCTTTCCTTCCGTCTTTCTGGTTCTCCATCTTTAAATCCACCCTTCTTTCCTTCCATCTTTCTGGTTCTTCATCTTTAAATCCACCCTTCTTTCCTTCCATCTTTCTGGTTCTTCATCTTTAAATCCACCCTTCTTTCCTTCCACCTTGAAATCCTTCCTTCTTTCCTTCCATCTTTCTGTCTCTCTATCTTGCTTGAGTACATTCCATGGAACGATGATGCATCCAAGTTAAGAATCTCCATCGTGAAATCCTCCCTCTTAGCTTCTCTTCTTGTATTTTCTTTCGTGTCCATCATCTGAGATCAAATGTTCTGCCAGGCTCTTAATGTACACTGAAGAGCCTTCTTATTTGCTGCCACTAGGTCTTCTAGGCACCATTGGTCATCTAGGAGTGGGCATCTTAATAAGTGTGACATAGATTGCACGGATGTTCCACACTCCCAGTCGGTGTCTGTGTCATCTGTGTATCCCCATTTATGCATATTGTATTTGTCGTTTCATCTGTATCTCCCTGCCCTGATCTGTTCCCGTTCTCTCCTTCTTTCTTTTTTCTTCTTGTCCTTGCTCCATCTCTTCTCTTCACCTTCATCTGTTCCTTCTCAGCGTAACTTCCTCTCCGTCCCTCTCCATTTCTTCCTTTTACCCCCTCTCTCTCTTTCTTACACACTTGTAAAATTCTGCTAACTCTTAGTAGTCGTAATCTTCTTTGAATCAAATATATAAGGCTCATCACAATTCCACTATGATTTCAGGAATTTACTTTATCTTCTGCATAAAATATATTTCTTCTCAATTTTCTATGTATGTCAATCTTTGTATCACATCACACTTACAGCTCACCGGAGTATGCAGTGGTTGAAAATGAGGCCGAGATGGATGAAGAAATGTGCATGCATGCCGGCAGCACCCTTCCTATCATTCCAAGCCCTGGTTCCGGACGACCTCCGCCCCAGTACAACCAGCACCTTCACTTCCCCCACCACCAGATATCAGATGACCCCGAACCTTACGCCTCGGCGACCCTCGTCCAACCTCCCAACATGCGAGAGTACCCCGCCCGACGACAGAACTGCAGTGATAATAGTTCGGAGTGGTCGGGCTCATGGCAGTCGTCGAATAGAGATGGGCGTCGACCCGGTCGGATGGTGAAGCCTGGAGGGCATGGTAGCCCCCGGGGTTGGCACGCCCCTTACGATGGCCCACCGGCTGTACCAGACAGAGGTTCGTTACTTTTATTTTTTCATTTTTATGAACTTATTCTTTTGACAGCTTTATTGAAGTTGTTTCTGGAAGATGCCTTATCAACTATTTCTGAGGGACATTAGAAACTGTTACTCTCACTTTCGATTCTTTACAGGGATGACTTGTTGTTATAACTAGTTTGAATATTTCTAATGTTAATTGCCACTTAATTGATCATGATGACTTTGAAGACTTGGAATTTGGGAGTTGTTCCTTAACCCTTTATAAGTTTTCAAACATATAAAAACACAGTTTCTTGGGACAATTTTGCAGTTGTATTGCAGTTTTTCGTGGTGTTGTTCACCAAAATTCCAAACTCTACTCATCATGAACCCATGCAATATTTGAAAATAAATACCAGGAAAAACAAAGTTCTTCATTTTAAAAAATGTTGATGGAATATAAGGAGGCAAATAGTTTAAGGTATAAGCAAAAAGGTTTGAAGTAGAAGTTTGCTATTGAAGGAATGTTTTGATTTGATTTTAGATATGGGTTACTCAGACCAAGGTAGTCAGTACTCAAGATGCAGCTCAGCATCCAAGCGATGCAGACATCCTCACGCTACCACACCCGGTAGACAACCTCAGCGAAACTGGGCGGAGTTCCTGCCCCCACCCCCTGAGCAGCCCCCAACAGACATGGACTCTCCTGGGGGTTCATTGCCCCCCTCCCATCCCGGGTCCATCAAGTCTTCCTTCTACCGGAGGGGCAGTAGCCCGAACCAGCACGCTCAGGCGTATGTCCAAATCAACCCAGGGGCGTGTGAGGAATGCGAGGCCGCGGCGACACATCATTGTCCTCCGGTACCTCCGCGCAATCACCAGCAGAGCCCGCTTCTCAATCAGCCCCTCTCCGGGAACAACTCGCCCGTCCCCATCTATCCACCACCGCTTCTCCCCCAGCAATCCTGTAGGACGGAGATTCCAGGCCCAGGGTCGCATTTCCAGCCCATCAACTCGTCCCTGAGTCCGCCCCCAGGCGATAGCCCCAGCCACCAAAGGGGTGTGCATAAACTGATTAAGACCCCGCCCCCGGTCCACAACACTACTACCAGCGGGAACATGACACCGGAATTCGGTGGGTGCTCAAAGCAAACTGTCATACCCTTACAATCGGGGCCAGGGAGCCCGGGAAGGGGGTCGCAACAAATGCACCAGCAGTCGATAGCACCGCAAAGAGTGTTTGAAGACCCAAGGCACGCCCAGATCGGTCAGGAGTTGCTTAAATATATGACCAGGAATGAACTGGAAGCAATGTCGGAGGATACCCCATATGCACCCATGGAAATGACCCTAAAAAATACTGAAGGTACAACTTTGATTTTCTTCTCTTCTATATTATCTCATACTTTGTACAATTTGCACCGTAGCCTATACTTGCTTACCCTTAAAACTTTCTATTTTATGTAATGCATATTAGTTCATTCATATAGATTTCATGTTGCTATAGATATAGAAACTGCATAGTTTTCTCTATTTTCTATATATATATATATATATTTCCATATTTTTTCTAATTGAAACTTTATTAGATAATTCAAAAAACATATATCGCACATAATCAGCAAACCCTAAGAGTAAATGTTGTGACTATTCATATCTTACTTCATAGTGACTATAGAGAATTAGTACCATCTAATCAGAGCCAGAAGGGCATTAACTGGCACTTCTTGCTCTTCTTGCTCCAAGCAGATGATCGACTTCTTTGGGAGTGTATCCCATTAGGATTTGTTTCTCTTGTCAGCATGCCATATAATCAATTATCCTTTCTTGCCTGACCCCACCCTACTCCTTGCCCTCCCCCTTGTCCCTCTTACAGGGTCAAATTCCGCTGTCCATCCCTCCCTAAGCGAGGTAGAGACCACCGAACTCAACAGTTTGGATAGTAAGGATAGAGACATGGATACAGCCAGTAATTGTACAGGTAAGTGTGTATACCAGTGATGCCACACCCATGTACCCCTCTCTCAAACTGGTATCGGGTTGTTACCCCATCTCATTCAACCTCGACCTAGACGTGTAATATTCGACTGCCTCAAGCTGTTTGAATGGCGTCTATGAGTGCCCCCACCCACTTACTGTTCTCCCCTACTGGTATTGGGGTCGATACCCCTGTTGATTCTCCATTTAGAAATGTAATACTGGAGCACTTTGACCATCGTCACTGTTCAATGTTAGTAATGGTGAGTGTAACATGCATGTACCCGTGATGCCCCACACTCTTACCCCTCTCTTCAAATGGTATCAGGGTTATTACCCCTATCCATTTTAGTAATCCAATCCTAGAGAATGCCTTTTCTGTTTTGATTTTCTTACCTCAGCTTTGATTTTCTTACCTCGGCTTTCATACTACACATATCTACACCTTTTTTGAATACGTTGAGCTCTCTTTTTCTTTCGAAAAAAACAAACAGTTGTGAACTTGACAGTGTGAACTTGTACAGAGGTTTTCTTTTTAGCTAGGCTCGTTTAATATCATGCCTTGTTTATTTTACATTGATTCTGTATGTTTCCTTGTATCTTTTTCATTATTTTTAAACCAGAAACTTATTCACACATAATAAAATGTTTGCAAATTTCATGGGTGGTTTAGACTCCTGAAAGTTTCATGCTGCAAAATAGTCGAACTGGAGGCTTCCGAATTTGCAAAATTTTCTGTCTGTAGAATATCGCTCTCCTTTGCAAAAGTTTCATGTCACAAAAGGTTTCTGGTATTACAGTATAAGATAATTATTTGGAATCTCGAACAAACAGAATTTAAAATACATTTCAGAAGAGAATTTCACAACTTTATGTTCATCATGTAGCCATTTTGTTTCCGTCCCCCAGGGTCAATACAAGATAATTGTATGGAATATTAAACAAACAGAATCTAAAATATATTTCAGAGTAGAATTTAACATCTTCATTTTGTCGTTATGCAAAATTCTATGTCTGTAAAATATCGCTCTTCTTTTCAAATTGCGAGAGTTTCATCTCACAAAAGTTTCTGGTATTACAATACAAACAGAATTTAAAATATAGTGCAGAGTAGAATTTAACAACTTCATGTTTTCATCTTGTTTCAATTCCCCAGGGTCGATGTTAGCTTACGGTAGCAGCAGTAATGGAAGCAGGAGAAACAGTGTCGTCAGTACGAGTTCGGACGGCTCGTTCTTCGCCGAGACGGACTTTGCCAATGCAGTGGCAGCAGCAGCACACAATGCTGGAGTATTGGTCATGCAGAGAGACACGCCACGTAAGACAATGTTCATTTGACCTTTGACCTTTGATGATAATACTAATTTAGTTAGATTTGATAGTACTTTTATTCATGATCATACATCATATTCACTTACATTTGATGATAACGTTACTTTGCATTAATAATAATAATAATAATAATAGTTCGTTCTTATGTAGAGCTTTTCAGGACCTCAGCCCTCTCAAAGTGCTTTGCGTATGCACATTCTCCACTCCCTGGGGAGCATTCCAGCCAGGCGTCATTTTTACAAGCGCACAATTGCTCATCTAACCACATTAACTTTCGCTACCTACCGGGACATCCTGTATTACATACATGATATTAAATTTAAGTAAAATTCAATAATTGTTGTATGCATATATATATACAATTATTACATTAAGGGCAGGACAGGATGGTTTTACATCGTGTTAAAATGGTGATATGGTATATATGATACCTAGAAAGAGTTATCATTGTTTATGTTCATATGTTATCAATGTAATATAAAGGCAAATTGAAAAAAATACAATGAACTATGGCATTAAAAGGAATTAATATACAATATATGGCAAGTTTGAATCATAAGCTGTGAATTGAGAAAATTTCACTTCCTGAAACTTTTTCAAACTGTTATCACCAACTGGTTGTATGGCAAGAAACTATTGTGGGGGGGGGGGGGGGGCGTCATAAACCTTCCCAATCCTTTGAACAAGTTTGTAAAGACACAACCATTTATCCTTTCTTTTTCTCTCTCCTTTTATTATTATTCCAACAGTTTCAAGTCAACATTTGCTGAGAGAAGATACTGTCTGATGCGGGAAGAAAAGATGGAAAATATTGTAATTTCACTATGCGTGGAGGAGGAGCTGAAGGAAAAAAATACAGTACATTTAGATAAATAAAGTTTGTAAATGGCAAGTTTATATTATTAAATATTGTAAATAAACATGAATTATAAAAAAAATATGATAAATTTGCCAATGACAATCGCTTTCTTATTTTCATTTTTTTTTTTAAATTTCAACACAAAAAGAGCTGTGCCTGAGATATTAGTTATTTGTTGACATGTATTATGTTGCTTTGTTTATCTTTTTAATTTGCCATGATTTATTTGAGTTTACACAGGTGTTTGATGATTAAAATGAAAGCCATGGAAGGTATATGTTTCGAATTTTTTAAAAGTTCTTTCTGTGGCTAAAATTGTCAGAGGGAGGTTTGAGAAAAAGTTAGATATCTGTAGGAGCAGTAGAAAAATAAATATTTTCATACTATAATACAAAGACTGAATGAAAAAATAAATGAGTACGGTCTATCCTGTATTCACATGTAAGAATAAATATGATTTAGACATAAGGGAATGGAGCTTTTCAACAATTTAATTTTAAATCAGTATTAATAACAAAAATTACTATTCAGAGGTTATACAATAAGCTAATGTTAAAAATTGTTATAGATTCTTTTGGGGGAGTAAAATAAGTCATGTTTAAATAGATATATTTAGCAGCATACTTCAACATGCTGACTACTGGTATACTACAAGGCTCTCTTTCCTTGCATCTTTAAACAGTTTAAATAAAGAATTAGAATATGCAAATGACATAATCAGCTGTATATAGAAAGTTACGGGATGAAAGAAAAGTTCTATATTGTAGGTTCACGATATTATGCAATATTGCGCCTGATGAAATTCCAATTGGAATTGGGGAGGAAAAGAGAAAAGAAATATTTTTAACTGCTTTGTTTGTATTTATAAATAAGAAATATATTGATAAAAGTTGAAGGGGGAGGGAAAAGGTGAATAAGAAAAATTTGAATGGTTGTGTATTGAATTACAAAAAATGGTAGAACATTTTTGTTTTGTGAGCAATTGTTGAATTATGTAGAAAAAAAACGTATTTACCCTATTTGTTATAGCTTGATGTTTCAAATGCAATAAACCTACTTTGGATAAAACATCGAAAAGATGACAGAAAAGCATATAAGCGTGTAACAAGCAATACAATGCACAGAAAATTCATATTAATTACACTGTTTATTGACTTCAACTAATAAGGTTCATCACTTTTAAAGCATTTATTTCTGCATATATCTTTTATGCACATTGTATTTATATACACCGACAGAGTGAAGATGCAAATTGAAATAATACAAAATATTGTTCCTTTCAGTATTGCACAAAAGCAATCTTTTTTTTTTTTAATAATTTTTTGCACCCCTCCAAGTAAAAGGTCAACAGAGGTCAAAATTTGCTGCAGTTATGCTGACAACATAACATGTGGATCTGATGGGCTTTCTTATATAGCTGAGGCGATGAGCCGTGCTTCATACAAAGTCATTGGAAATATGCATACACATATATCATCAAGTCAATTTTAGGTCGAAAACTTCTGATTTTCAAAGCTTTAGGTTTTTGAGTTTTAGGAGAGCTGTTACTTTTCTGATAAACACTAAAATATCACATAAATGATACTAGTGTAATCTTATGGCTTATAGGCTTTCTGTTGATATATAATTCACCTATTTCATATTTCATTACATACAGGGTCTTAAATAGTTGATTCAAACACAAAATAAATTCTTTCAAATTCTACTTTCATAGTTTGGTGTGACTACGGGGGCCAAGCGTAGAATGAACATGATCGATGGTGAGGTTGGTTGAAATATACAGAGAGGTTATGTTATGAAAAATGTTACTTTGCTTCATGGTTAAGTTGAATTTGTTTTCTTTGTACATAACAAATTTATTGCTGAAAACCAAAGGTGTTACAAGCTAAAATCCAGTCAGAAGAATCAATACCCGATCTGATTTCTGAATAGCTAAAAGGTTGCAAGTCCTTCTACCATTGTGCAGAAAATCCTTGACTGGTTTTTATGTCTTTGTACCGGAGTTGATTTTTTTTTTACTAGATTCCATATGATTACCACCGTTCAGATTTTAAGATAGATATTTATATGAATATTATATTAAATGATTGTAGAATGAAGAGATAATGAAGAGATATTGAAGGCAGTTTATATTTATGTGAGTTGTATTTTTATGTTTCTTTAAGTGATATGCATACTTTTGTTGAATTGGATGGAGTAGGAGAAATCTTCTCGCTCTTCAGCGCGCTATGAAAAGAAATGAGTAATTTTCTGATTTTTTTTTTGTATGCCACCATTTCTTACATATCGCATGATAAATAAAATGCTGATATTTTTGTTTTCTCTCTTGTTTAAGATGATTATTGTCAAGTTTTTAAGTGCAGTGATGTTTATGAACATAGCTTGTAAAAATAAAAATACTGAGATTTATTACTGTGGCTTGTAAGATTATAAAATTGCCCTGTTTATCTTAACTATGTACAGGCTGAGGAAAATAAAACAAATAAAACTTGTTTCTATTGTACCGTACAGTGTGGGAGGATTGTTCCTTGTTTCCAAGATGAATATTAAGAAGAAAGAGAGAAAGAGAGTAAGAGCAACAGAGGTGAGGAGATAGTGAAATATAGAGAGAGAGAGAGAGAGAGAGAGAGGGAGAGAAAAGTGTAGGAAAGAAGAAGAGAGGGGAAAAGTTGTAGGAAGAAGTGAGAGATATAGGAGAGAGGGAGGGAGTGATGGACGTAGGTGAGATGGTGAAATACATTTATAAAATTAACACACGTGTGACAAGTGATAGGGGAGGTGGTTGAGAGAGAGAGAGAGAGAACAAGAAAGGTGAGAAGAGAGAAATGAGAAGAGAGAAATATGAAGATATAGATTGGCGATATGTAGGAAGAAGTGAGAGATATGGAAGGGGAAGGGGAGGGAGAGATAGATGTAGAAGAGATGGTGAAATACACTTAAAACACACTTTTGAAAAGTGATAGGGGAGAAGGGTGAGAGAGATGAAGAAAATATAAATTGATTTGGGAGGCACGGCAGAATGTGGTAATGGGGTTAGAGATGGAATAAGAGAGAGAGAGAGAGAGAGCAAGAGAGGTGAGAAGATAGAGAAATAGGAAGATATGAGAGAGATGTAAGAAGAAGTGAGTGATACATGAGATACAGAAGGAGAGTGGGGGGGGGGGGGGAGATAGTTGTAGATGAGATGGTGAAATACATTTTAAAACACATGTGAAAAGTGATAGAAGAGAAGGTTGAGAGAGAGAGAGTGGGAGAAAAGAAGAGAGAGAGGAAGAAAGGTGAGAAGAGAGAAGTAGGAAGAAGTGAGACACACGGAAGGAGAGAGGGAGATAGATGTAGATGAGATGGTGAAATACATTTTAAAGTTTAAAATACATTGTGAAAAGGTGATGGGGAGAAGGATGAGATAGACGAAGAGAAAGAGAGACAGGGTGAGGGGAGAGAAGAGAGAGATGTAAAAAAAGATAAAGTGATTGGAGACTAGAGGTACAGAAGGAAGGGGGGGGGTTCAGGGACTGGAAGACAAGGAGGAGGGAGAGTGAAATAAACAGACCTATAAGCAGAGACAATATACTACTATGATTAATCTTGCCCTTATTTTGATATTCCTTTAGCTCATGAATTTGTAGTTGTGTAATATTGTTTTTTTACTATTGTAAAGCACATTGTTATTTTGTCGGAAGATAAAATCGCTATATAAGCCTAGGTTATTATTATTATTACTGACATAAAATCTTTCAAAATCACATACTCATACACATTCACACATAATGTATGTAGCCTACATGGATGGTCAACAAAGAGGACTATTGCACCAACTTGGTTTTGAACCTACATGTAGGATCCCAGTTCCACGACCACTGCTCTAACCACGAAGCCACACACGCTCTCCATAGGTCATCGTGAAGACTACCATGGGACAGAATACGAGACTGGGTAAGCTGTACCCATGGTTACTCGATAGGGATGCTGAAGCGGTGTCCGGTGAGATTTCCAGCTCCACACGTTCTTCTGGAAAATAATTGATACGTCAAGGATAGAAAAAGAATGAAAGCTACAGTGAAGCCTAGGATAATTGACAATGAAGCAATTTTCGCTAGAGCATCTGTCGTAAAACCAGACTTGTAACTTTACTCCATCAAAACATAGATTTGCACCTTTAATTTCATGGAGCCTTTCATCAATAATTTACTTGTAAAATTTGAGGAAACAAAAGCTATAAAAGTGATTAGCATATACCAACAATTTGCTGCATTCAATGCTGCATTCAATAAAACTTACCGGCGTTTCTGCGATCAATATTGGTTTCCAAACTGGTTGATAAGTCCGCTGATCATCAGAAATGGGTATGAAGGAACAGGAAAGAATAGAATTAATTATAAGATATTTTGTTTCGTCATTAATTGCCGTCAGTGTACAAAGATTTTTTAAATGTGTGCATCCCGGGTTTGAAATACACAGAGTCAAAAATACACAAAATATCTATACTTGGTGCATTTTTCATCAGCGACATACATGTAGCCACAAGAGACACAGAAATGCTCCCCAATCCGCGTACATAGCGAAAGAGAAGAGAAGAAAAAAAAGTTTAAAGAGAAAATAAAAGTCAAAGAGAAATGGAAAAGAAGTGTGGAAAGAAAATGATAAAACCCCTCCTAAAGTCATCTCCTTCACTTGACACTCGATCAATTACCTTTTTCTCTCGCATTCATTTACTAAGGATAACTGGTCCTCCCCCCTCCCCTCCCCATCCTCCCCCTCCCCTCTCCCTCCCCTCCCCATACTCCACGACACAAAAGCCCGTCAGTTACTGTTTCAGATATAAAATATAAACCTTACCCTAAAACACGGGTGGCCAACCTTTTAAAGCTCGCGGGCCACATCTAACGATTTTCATAACTTGGCGGGCCGTAGGCCAGGCGGGGGGGGGGGGGGGGGGGGGGGGTAATCACATATTGAGACATAAGGGGTGTGCCGCTCTAATGGGTAACCTTTTTTACAAAAAGAATCCCTAAACTTGGGTCCCATTTTTAACAGAAATATCCTAAATATGGGTCCGTGTTTTCAAAAAATTTATTTAAAAAAAACTCGGGGTTTTAGCCATGCAAACACCCGAAATTTTTATAAAATGGGCTTTACTTTCAACAAAAATCTGCCAAAACAAGGCAACCCTTAAAAATGGGTAGAGGTTACGAGGCTTCAGCGGCACACCCCGTCAAAACCAAATCTGAAATCCTCCCCCCCCCCACACACACACACACTCATGTACACACTTGCAATTTTGCAAACAACAAAATCAGTCGAACAAAATCAGGCTTACTTTTTTAGTGTGATTTCTGGCTGACAAAATATGAGGCAAAGTTGTTTACCTTTCTCTTCTATGAAGAAATACTTCAGAGATCAATCCGATTTAAAGTTTCTGTCTTCATCAGAAACTTTCCTTTTCTTAATTCGCACGTCTCGAAATCGATGCCATGTTGGTTGTTATTTCAAACAAAATCAATGACACAGCAGAAAGAATATAAGGGGACTATCCACGATTAAGATTAATGAAAAAATTAAACGGCGGGAGAAAAGGGTTGTAAGTTTTAAGACAAGTATGGCATTTCAAACATATTTCTTGATTCACGATCGATTGGGCAAAAAGAATTTCCATTTCCGGTTTAACTTAATAAAATTTGGAGTGGATTTTAAAAGATTATTATTATTGTTATTATTTGTATATTTACAAAGGTTACTGCATGTGGAAATAACAAACTGAAATTAACACGGCGAGTGATGTTAATGTCGTTAATGTAATGTAATGAGAAGGAATTTGAGGAGTTTTGTATAAGCCACGTAACGAATCAATATGTTGTGAATGATAAAAACAAATTATGGAAATAGAGATAGCTGTGTGTAAATGCTTTACTCTATTTCATCGCTGTTATGCGGGCCGCATTTCATTCATTAACTATTTTTATAAATACTTTTTCAATGCTCCGCGGGCCGCACAAGAAGAGCTCGCGGGCCGCATGTGGCCCGCGGGCCGCAGGTTGGCCACCCGTGCCCTAAAATCAACCTCAAACCTTGAGCAAAACAATAACCTGAATTGAAAACGATAACAGATGAGACTTACAGACAGACGTGCTGAAAGTTAAACTGGCGCCCTCTCCGTTGCCCAACGAATTTCGGCCATACAGAATGACCTCGTATGTGGTATTTGTATATAGATCCCGGATGACGTGTGATACTGTGTCAGAATCTGAAGAAAATGGGACGACCTCTTGGAACCACTGAAGTTGTGTTTGGTTTCCCAGACTGGCGACTGCTTTCTATTACAAAGGAAGAAAAAGATCATTATACATCAATCACTTTTTGAAAACTGCAGACTGTTCCAGTCCATTATCCTTAGCCTCATCAGACCTAGCCTTATCCTAACATTTACCCTTACCTTGAAAGTACCCTTACCCTTAACCCCTTACCCTAATCCTAACACTAACCCTTGCCCTATGCCAAGAGACATTATGAATCCCTTAGGCAAATTGTAATTTAGTCGTGACTTGACTTTAAGAAAAGGCTGAGTTCTGGAAAGAGGTGAAACATAATTTGTGAGCGTTATCATTGTTTTATGCAAATGTGGAAGAACATCAGATAAAAAATGTTCCCTTGAAAAGCATGACTCTTCAAATGCCTTAATATTCTAAATATGGCATGTAACATCATAAAAATCGGGACAGATTTTTATGCCACTTGTTCGTGTAGTCCCATATACATCTTTCTCTACAGTGCTTGTAACATTACCAAGACTGGGTCAAACTTCTTATCATTTTGATGATTCCAGAACCTTGCAGTACACACCAAATTGAAACTTACAGGCTGATTCCGTGGACGATATGCCACGATGAATTCATCAATGTTCAAGGGTGTGCCATACGGCGTGATTGCATTTGGTGCCCAGAGAAGATGGTATGCATGACGTCGTGGTCCGGTAGCTGTGCTAAGAATAGTAGGTCGCATAGGCCTTCCTATGAAACAGGAAAGAAATAATATGTAAATTATCAGCGCAAATCTGATATGATCGCGCATTAATTTTACAGATAATTTAACAGCCATAAAAAGGATAATTTGCAACGATAACTAGAAGAAGAAAATTATGAGATAAAAAGGATATCACAAGTGGGTTCAGAAGGATGTTTTGAGAGGAAAAAATAAAGACGATCATGAATATAGAAGAAAAACAAATAACTTCATGAAAAATGTATGTGATTCTCTCTGTTCACAGTTAATATTTTAATGTTAGATAAAATTGAATTTGTACGAAAAACATGTTCACATAATACGTATTCCCGGTTATAGCCCACGACAAGAAATTTCGTGCGACCGTCGCGTCGGTCTTGTGGGCCGCTCTGAAAGTTATTTGACATGTTTTACGGCCACCGAGACTGTCATGTTGATCTCGGGACCCCGGGGCCGTCAGTCTACTCGGATGTCGCGATATTTCCCAATATTCTCAATGTTGCTGGCATTCTTTTCGACGGCGGACCCTTTCAAACACGGACGATTGTATGGCCATGCACGTGATATGGAATCATCTCTTTAATTCAAACTCACCGCATATTTCTAGGCTTTTCACAGCCGTTCCAAGGAGGTTTGTAGCAGTGCATGTATACATGCCGTAATCGGATTCATCCAGCTTCACGATCACAAGGGATCTGTTGATTTCATTTAATAACAAATCAAAATCATGAACACGAGATGTTTAAAATTATTCAGAGATAATATAAAGAAAAGGGAAAATGCCTAAGAAATTCAAAGCGGCATTCCTTGTTTTAATTCCTTATCTTCAGTGATCCAGTAGGAATGGGAAAAGGAGCGATATATATATAATATCTGAAGAAATACAATTGAAACCGGGCATAGTGAAAAAGGATAACTTTCTCAAAGATTTTTAAGTCAATTGTTTTAATTATCATATATACATATATAGAGAGAGAGAGAGAGAGAGAGAGAGAGGGGGGAGGAGAGAGAGAGAGAGAGATAGAGAGAGAGGGAGAGAGAGAGGGAGAGAGAGAAAGAGAAAGGGGGAATAGAGAGACTCTCTATAGATAGAAAGAGACAGACAGACAGAGAGACAGAGACAGAGAGAACAGGATGGTTGTGTGAGACATCATACACACTGGCAAGAAGAGAGAAACGTGGTAGGAGATCGATAAATGACGATAAAGCACAAAGTCACAGAAACCAATAAAACATTTTCTAGATTCAACATTTTCCTAGAGATTTACAAATATTTAAACGGGTCATTACTTTCATTTATTTTCAATTTGCCAACAAGGCGCGAAAAAAATATATCCACAGATGCGGTACTAAACTTGCGGATATAACTTTGAATGGAGAAGGGAAATTGATAGTGATTTAATTGTTACAGCCCTCCTCCCCCTCCCGTTTCGCGTCTTTTTTTTAACATAACCTAGCCATCCTACCGCTGCATTTGATTGGCTCAATAGGAACCTATACGTCATACGCTAGTCATATGAGATTTCATACAACACAAGTTTACTTTAAATAAATGACATTGCGTCAAAATCGAGAGGCTTACCGCAAACGAAATTGCGACATACTAGTTAGTCCAGAATCTGTCCGATTTAATTTTGTTCTCCACCACACCGTACCAACGCAAGTATTTATATATTCAAATATTAATAGGCAGCGCATGATTGGCTAGGTTAGGTTTAAAAATGTTGCCTCCCGGTCCCCTTTTCATGATCGTCAGTACCTCTGTGCTGTTACAAGTTTCTCTCCATCTTCACTTTTGGTCCATCTGTAGATAGCTGGAGGGGAAGCGGTTGCTTGGCAGTCAATCTTGATGTAGCTATTCAAGCCAGCATAGATGACGGGTGCGAGAGGAGATATACTGGGCTCATCTGTGTATTAAGATAGATAGAGAGAGAGAGAGAGAGAGAGAGAGAGAAGGAGAGAAATTAGAGAGAGATGGAGAGAGAGATGGGGAGAGGGGGGGGGTGAGAGATAGGGCCAGAGAGGGCCAGAGAGAGAAAGAGGGGGGAGCGAGAGAGAGAGGGGAGCGAGAGAGAGGGGGAGCGAGAGAGAGAGAGAGAGAGAGAGAGAGAGAGAGAGGGGGAGGGGGGGGGGGGAGGGGAAGGAAAAACGGTGACGAGGGAAAAGAGAGACAGGGAAAGAGAAATGGGAGAAACGAGCCAGTTGAAAGGAGTGAAGAGAAGTGAAAAGAGATGGAACATTGAAGAAAAATCAGGAAAAAACAACAAACAAACAAAATATTTCGAATTTAGTATCAAACATATACGAAAGATCATCAATACATTATTGATGAAAATATACATGTAATAATAAATTGTGCCGACATGTGTTATTATTTTTTTGCTCTTCTAAACCCCGGCCCCCCCACTCAGTGTTATTTAGGGTACGCATATGCGTGTTCCAACCGACCCCCCCTTTTCAGCAAAAGTCCGGTGTGTAAAGTCAATACGGCTCGACCTTTTTCTTTTGTTACGAAAAGGACATTTTGGCAACACGCATGCGGTCATTTTGAAACCTGAGTGGGGGGGGGGCCGGGTTCTAAACACAGCAGTAATTGAATTCGTAATTTAAAATTGAAGAAGATACGCTCACTAGTTTAACCAAAGCACAATATTCTACCACACAAAACACGCACTTACATTGCACGACCAATCTGATGCGCTTCTCCACGTCGCCGTACGGGTTGCTCGCTCTGCAAGCGTATTGGCCAGAATCGTCACGTGATGCATTGTCAACGACCAATCGTATTGCTCCATTCACGCTCGCATACTGCATATTCATAGCTGACTCGATATCCGTGACCAAAGAGATCCATTGTAAGAGAGGCGGTGGGAATCCCGTGATGACACAATCGACATAAAACGACTGGGATTCGTTGACGGTAATCGTAGGAATTCGGACCTGTATATCAATGGGGTTTCCTTCGTAGGTGATAGCTTGTAGAGCTGATGGACCTAGAGTAAAAGGAAAAAGAAAGAAAGAAGGAAAAAGAAAAAAAGAAAGAAAAAAAAAGAAAGAAAGAAAGGAACTGAAAGATAATTACACGGTAATAAATAAAAGAAGATAATAATAATTGAGTCACTTTCAGGATAGAAGAATAATTTCGCCACTGGTATTCAGTATTTCTCCCTCTCCATATTCTGAACATCCTGAACGAGGTGTATAGTACCGTACTGTCCCGACTTTGACGAGGTATTCCGAGCTGTCTCGAGTTATTGACGAATTAAGCTGAGCAATATTGCTCGACGTCCGGCTCGCCAACCCTATCGGCCCAAATTCTGCAAAAGTGTGTCCCTTTGTGTATGTGTATTAGGTGTGGACCCCCCTAAATAATGTAAATACAATAGTACCCGAATTAATTTCTAATCGAATCCGAATTTATTTCTAATCGCACCCGAATAGTGGAAACAAATTATCTTTCAGCCATCTTTTGTCGCGATTGAAGTTAGCGGTCATGAAAGCCAAACACTATTATAATTTGATGTTAGAAATAAAATAGACAGGATCTGCCGTGCATTTAAAAAATGTTTTCATTATTTTAGTTAGTGATTATGTCACATTAGTTTCATGTTCTGTACTATGTATGATATGTTACAACTGCATGAATTCTGTATTTAAACACTGTTGTAAATAGCTGTTATTTTATGATATGAACAAATAAAGTCCCTTAAAAGAGGATAAATAGAAAAAAATCTTTTGTTGCGATGAATGGATAGGTGGGTGTCAGTTTTAATCAGAAAACAACAATGCAATTTACACTGATCTGTTAGAGGGTGTCAAGCCGACTTCTCTCCTCGACCTTTTCCTCTTTTCCCCTTTTTTTCCTTTTCCCTTTTTTAGCCAGTCGTTTGTTGTTGTTTTTTTTTGGGGGGGGGGGTGCACGTGCCTCATTCCACCTGTAGCTTTACTACTGTTTGTCGTAAGTCTTTTAAATTTGAACGGGAATTTAGTTTTAAAAAACTAAGAATTGAATAAATATCGAAATCTCAGGAATTCAGTCACCAAGCTCATACGAAAAGAGAAGAGAGAATATTTTGACTCAGTATCTGAGAGGTACAGTAATGATAGTGTGAAGTTATGGAAGGAGTTAAGCAAAATTACTGGAAGGGGGGAAAAGACTTTGTTTTACCATCTGATTTAGACAGTAATAGATTGAACGATCATCATGATCTATCATGGAACCACCCGGAAAGTATACATACCTTCGTTTTGAAATCAATCAGTCCCTGGAAAACTGCAAACAAATCTCTTTATTGTCGAGAGAGATTAACCTTCAGTTTGTTAGAATTTGATAGAAAATTACTTAAAATCTCAGCTCCTTATATTAATATTTCTCTTAATCTTTTTAATGAAAGTTTGAATTGTGGATTTTTACCTGATAATTGGAACCTGGCTAGAACTACGCCTGTTTATGAAGGTAAAGGTGATAAGAATGATATTTCAAATTATAGACTCATCTCAGTCGTATGTCATATTACTAAACTGCTTGAAAAGGAAATTCAGTCTCAGTTTTTATTTTACTTGCAGACCAATCATCTTATTAGTGTTCACCAATATGCTTTCTTGCCAAATCATTTAACTAATACAAATTTACATAGAGTCATTGATGATTGGTATGAATCTTTTAATGAAAAGGAAAAAGTTGGTGCATGTTTTCTTGATATTTCAAAATGTTTTTTATTGTATTGACCATGAACTATTGTTGTCCAAATTGAATAAGTATGGTATTTTAAATACTAGTGTTTTATCTGGTCGGAATCAAGCAGTTTATTGTCGTGGTAAATTATCTGAAACAAAGGACATTACTATAGGAATTCCTCGGGAGGGGGGTATTTTAGGCCCCTCCCTCTTTCTTGTTTTTTATAAATGATCTAACTGATTGCTTACGGATAAGTACTTGTAATATATTATACGCTGATGATGTTGTCTTAAATGTTTCTGTTTTTGGTATTAATGTCATTACATCTAAGCTCTAAGCAGATTTATGTGCTATAGATGAATGATATTGTAAAAATAGATGACGTATTAATAATAATAAGAGAAATGTTATGCTGTTGAGTAGTAACACACGAGGTAATGAAATCATAGAACAAGTAAGAAGTATCAGATATTTAGGGATTGAAATTGATGATAGATTATCTTGGGATATGCACATTAAATCTTTTACCAAACCATTAAGTTATAAGTTTTTGACTTTGAGAAAGCTCAGTAAATTTCTAAGCTCTTCCATTTTGAATAAAATATACAAATGTACCATACAGCTAATCTTAGATTATTCTTCTTCCATTTGGGGGAACTGTTCTTTACAAAACAGAAATATTCTTTTAAGACTACAGAAAAGAGCTGCACGTATTGTTGTAGGAAACTCTGATTCTGATGTTAATAGCTCGAATATAACGAAATCATTAAAATGGCAATCGATTAATACTCGACGGGACTATTTTTAGCATGTATAATCACCTGATCCACATAATATCGTATAATGTACAACTGTATTCAAGGAAAATCCCGGTACGATAGTGCAATGAAGTGGAAATGTTTTTTAATAGACTTGCCAATACATTGAATGTTGTTTTACCCAAGCCTACTCTTGAATGTTTTAATAACTGTTTTTAGATACGCTTGTGGTAAAATCTGGAATAATTTACCTTTTGCTTTTCAAAATGCTAAATCTATCGAGGTCTTTAAACGTAATACCTGTGTGATACAATGCCGATTTATATACTGCTCTTGACATGCCTTATGTCTCCTTCTCTCTCTCCTTTTCCCTCTCCATTTCTTTCTTTCCTTCTCTACTTTTACTAATTTCATTATAACTTTTCTCCTTTTCTAATCTTTTTGGTGATATTTGAATGCTTTCTATTAAAGTGATTTGATGTTTTCCGCAGTTAATTTCAATTATTACATTGTCGTTTGTTTTTTAAAATATTTTTTTAATGCGTATTATTCTTATATGTAAGTTTTATACTTTTTTTTTACCTTTGCTTGAGAGCTTTGGTGATATTCATTATTTTTTATTTCCGTGTATTAAATTTTTGTATCTACAATGTGTATCTGATTCTTATCCTGATTAATTTTGAATAAATAAAATAAATAAAAAATAACTTTACTTACGTCCCACTCGCAAATCGACTCGACGAGATGTCGGAATTTGGGTATTTATTTGACAGATGTACACACCCTCGTCTGATAACCCGACGGAAGCAATAGAGAGGTCAAAGGTTGTGTTTCCTTCCCGTCTGACTGCGTAGCGGGGATTTCGCGTGTTCGAGAGTACTGCATGGAGAATGAAAGACAAAATAAAATCGACACGATTTTCTGAAGAAAAAAAGTATACGATCGAGAAACGTTTAAAATATAACACTTCGATTTGAGAAGAGATAAAAGAAAGACTTTAGTGCAAAATTATATTGAAAAATAAAACATCAAATATCAATTAAATCACCAAATCAAAATTTTCCTAATTACCTTTGAGGTTTTAAAGTACATGGATAAATAAAATATATTGGTAAATAATATGAATCATCACCATCACCACCATCATCATCGTCATCATTCTATCCAGCCTTTGTTATTATTGTAATAATAATGATTATTACTATTATAAAGAAGTAGTAGTAGTGGTAGTAGTAGTAGAACTATCATCGCCATCATTGCCATCCTTAATTATCATTACAATTATTATTCTGCCTATTATCATCACCGTCATCACCATCATCATTCTCATTGCTCACATTGGATCGGGTCTTGTTTCATCCAAGTCACCTCATAATCTTGAAGATCACCTTCTACCCTACACAGAAGGATAGCATCATCACCCCGGAGAATGATCTCCAACTCATCCTCACCGCCGACGAAGCTTGGCTGATCTGGAAGAGGGAGGAGGAAAAGAGAGGGAGGAGGAAAAGAGAGAGAGGAAAAGAGAGAGAGGACAAGAGAGAGAGAGAGAGAGAGGAAAAGAGAGAGAGGAAAAGAGAGAGGAAAAGAGAGAGAGAGAGAGAGAGAGAGAGAGGAAAAGAGAGAGAGAGGAAAAGAGAGAGAGAGTAAAAGAGAGAGAGAGGAAAAGAGAGAGAGGACAAGAGAGAGAGAGAGAGAGAGAGGAAAAGAGAGAGAGAGAGGAAAAGAGAGAGAGGAAAAGAGAGAGAGGAAAAGAGAGAGGACAAGAGAGAGAGAGAGAGAGGAAAAGAGAGAGAGAGGAAAAGAGAGAGAGAGGAAGAGAGAGAGAGGACAAGAGAGAGAGAGGAAAAGAGAGAGAGGACAAGAGAGAGAGAGAGAGAGAGAGGAAAAGAGAGAGAGGAAAAGAGAGAGAATATCATTCTGCCCGTTGATATACTGAGAGAGTTTGAGTATCTTGGACTAACTTCATCGTCTGCTTGTGCAATTCATGCCCAACCTGTGATGTCACACATCTCAGCAGTGTTCGGAGAGCTCTTTACGTGCTATGGCCAAGGCTGTATTTAAGCATGTTGTAATTGATAATAATCATTACTTCGAATGTTTCTAAGCACTGAATTTCAATAACAATGTCCGATCAAAGTTTCACCTTTGCAATTATGAAAATAAAGTTAGTTTTGAAAATCTTCGCACAGCTACTTCAATTCTTTTTCGACAGTTGTTGATGGATATTGTTTTATCGATTATCAATGTAGATCAACATGTATTATATACCTCACTTAAGTAATCCAGCCATCTGATTGGTCGAAATTGCATTCATAAACTTCAACTGTTCCTGTAAAATTCCCGGTAACCATGCATAAAACATTTAATATTTTTAATAACCATGGTTATTAAAAAAATAGGTCAGCCTCCATGGTTACCCCATAGGTTTACATGTTAAAAAATGGTTTGAGCGATCGAGGATACCGTATGTGTGCGAAGGATTGGTCGGTAATTTCAATACAATTGAATCTCGATCGATCTTACCGACAATTTTATCTTGCATTGTTGACATGAAGACGAAAATAAACTTCCAAAAACAAAAAAACAACATCTGCCGATAGATCTTGATCTAAGTTCGTGCCAATATGCATTGCAAAAGTAAAAGAAGGGTCCGTTTAATGGAGCTTTTGCGAAGCATTCATCACGCCGAAGCCGGTTTCAATCCATTTTAATGTATATATTGTACAAAACTGCCAAGCACGTGAACATCGCGCGATGGACGAGTGGTGTAAGGCGTTGGTGTAAGATTTATCACTCATTGTACGTAAGGGTTCGACTCTCACCTTCGACAAAAAAAAAAAGTATTTTTATTTTTTATTTTTTAGTCTATTTTTTTTCGGCATATAAAAGTATTAATGACTGCTTTAATATTCGAGAAATAGTTGTTTTTATACGCTCTCGGGAAGGTTACAATTGGGCTATTCCCCTCGGCACGCCTCGGGTAATAGCACAATTCTAACCTTCCCTTGAGCTTATAAAAACAACTATTTCTCTCAAAGCAGTCATTAATACTATACTATTGACTGACACTCTCTTTGACGCAAAATTGAGAGTGACGTCATGACCTCGTAGGTATTCGTGTAATGAATTCCTAACATAAAGGATAAGTACATAAGCTCACCAGTAACTTGGTGAATGACTCTTCATGTAAACTCATAGGAAAGAATCAGATGTGGGTATCCAACAAAATAATTCATCTCGAGCCCGAAGGCATGATGTCCATATAATTATAACGCATTAAATATATACACGAAAATTTCCTTCGATAGGTGTCTAAACGCTTGAAGGAAATGAAGCGACCGCGCCCGCGAGGCCTCGACGAAACGCGTCATAACAAAAATGCGCTTGAAATTAAAACTCCTCCTCGGATAGCACAAGCGATGAATGTTTTACAATGCGAGATGATATCCAATGGATTAACTCTATATGATAATTCCTCTTGGTGATAATTGCAGCTGATAAAACATAATGTAGTGCAGATGAGTTGTAATATACAGTTGCATGTAAATAGCAGTAAAATCTTGTTTCCAGGGTGAAATCCTTCTACTATTAAAGATGGTGCACATTGGAATGAATTGAGAAAAATGTATCGTGTCCATTTTTCCAGACTGTCTCTTGATTGGCCAGTTGTTGCCATGATACAAAAACATCTGATAGCCTAGGGTACAATAGTGAAGGTATTTCAACAACAGGTGAGCTTGCCTGATTTATATTCTGTTGAGTCCCAATGAAGGATAGGCTGACCAGCAGTGAACAAAAGAGATGATTTCAAAAGGAATTGCTGGTCTGTTGATTATTAAAGGCAATCAATGGTTGTAGTAAAATCAGCTGACAATATTGTAAACAAACTGTGGTGAATTGCAAATGTCTTTATAATTGATAACATTTCCTACAACGTCATACACCATTTGAATTGGAAATGAGCAGAGCAAACATTTCAAGAACGTTACGGCTCATAAACATTGAATTGTGCCTTAATAATACGCTTGATTGGCGCAAGAAAAACAAAAACGTGGCCCCTTGTTCAAAATGTTATGTTGGTAACGACACATTGACCGTCCCGGGAAAAGTTTGCTTGTAAGGCACTTCCCCGTGGGCCTCTGTCTTAGTTAGGGAGGGGATGGTTGATACTGTCCTCTATTGGTATAATTAACACAAGGAGGAGAAGTACAATTTACCGAAATTCTTTTGACAGAAGCAGAAAATCACACTTACCAGAAGAGTTTGAGGGCTCGTTCTTCATGCAGTCCTGCAGCTCTTGTTCAAACAAGCAGGCCGACTGGCTATCTTCAACGTTTAGTCTGCCCATACACGCCTGTAGCAGTCCATTGTCATCGAAGGTGGTGCACATTATAACCGATGGACAAGCTAGAAATGCGAGACAGAACCATTTTCAAAAATGTATACAAAAATGTGTAACATTGCACCTCAACAGTCAGACACACATGGGTTGCCCTTCCTAGCAACACGCAATGCATGTCATTTGCATTCTGACTATTGAAATGCGATTATTCGTAACAGGTGAATGAAATTATTCGTAAAGAGGCACTTAACAAAGACGTATGCATTAACTCTGATTAAATTTCGAACACGGCGTAATTTATTTAAATATGCCAGTTCAATATTTTCAAATACATAGAACTCATACACAAAAGACGCCCTTAACCATTTCTTGCCTTTTCTTCGTTCACATTAGTTGCAGGAGTAATTGTAAAACCGTTTCAATAGTTCGAATGAAATAATCGCTTGTTATATCTCTCCCAAGCTTTCGGGTTTTTGTTATTGACCATAATTATAGAGGCATTCGCAGCAAATCCATACATTTGTGACGGGTCTATTGATTGAATGGCTCCATTAAAGAAAGAAATACAATTTTCCACTAGAGCTTGCACATAGTTTGCATGACATAGCAACAACCAATGTACCGTTATGCATCCCGTTTGCAATAACTTAAATGCACTTTCAAAAATATCTTTCAAAAACGAGAAGCAAGATATGAAACGTTTCGATAAGTGGTGCACCTGACACAAAATAAAGGAAAGGAAAACGGTGTACTAGGACAATACACGACAACATCTAAAGTAAGAACATATTAGGCTGGAAAGATATGTGTATAAAATGATGAAGGAATAATGGTTAATGAATGGTTAACGACGATCGATTTGTTACAATCAGAGTATAAATACCAGTATTGATTTTAACAACGGAGGTGGAAAGAGGGAGGATAGTACCGGGATAATGGAAGAGGGAGAAAGTAAGAGGAGGGAGGGAGAGGGAGAGAGGGAGAGAGAGAGAGAGAGAGAAGGAGAAAGAGAATGATGACATCACTCATGCATAATGTATAAAAACACATAGCATATTTCAGAGGTTGTAAAAAACTATAAAAATAAAAAAAACTTACTAACGATAGGAAGACAAAGTAGTCCAAAATAAACACATGATCCAATTGCAAAGGACATGGCGCAAAAACAGTACCACGCTTAAACACGATTATTCTCCTTTTGATGTACTGTAAAGCCCTACAAAGCTGTCTAAAAAAGGTCGGATAGCTTATTCCCATAACCATGTTACACGCACTGGTGTCATGGAGTGGATGCATGGGGGGGGGGGGGGGGTGGCGGCGGCGGCTGCGGCTCTCTCGATGGATTTAATACAAGGGCATGGTCATTGAGTTAGCAAGTGTATGTATGGGGTGTTATCATTTTAATTTCATGTTGGCTCCCTCCAATCCACCCTCACTTTCTCCTATTTCCCCGTTTGGCATTCAATGGGGGAGCTACGTACCCCCGTCAACTCTTTAGTTACGCCATTGATTATTCTGGCAGTATATAAGATAATAAAAAATCCCTCTATTCATCTCGTATTAGCATTTAACGCTTACATAGCAGAGGGGTACCAATAACATTAAGGCAGTCGATACTTACAGAGAGGGAGATAGGATCTCAATTTAATTGAACCTAATTTCTAAAGGAAACCATGCGTAATGATTAATATCTAATCGTAAAAATGCCATTTCTCTAAAACCGGGCACAGCAGTATATCGTAACTCTTGGTCGAATTTTTATAGTTGTTTCCCTTGTTTGTTCGCATCTTGCATCTTCACCTAAATACCCCTCCCCCTCTCTCTCTCTTCCTCCACTCCAGTCTCTCTTTTCTTTATATTTTCCCTCTCTCTATCTCTATTTCTTTCTTCCCCCTGTCTTCGTTACCCTATTTTCTCTTTCCTTCTCTATCTTTCTTTGTCTTTCCCTTCTTCTTATATTACTTTACCATTAATAATAATAATAATAATAATAATAATAACAACAATAATAATACCGTAACAGTAATAATAAAAGTGGTTTCTTGTAAGGCGGTTACGTCTGTCAGATTTGACACTCCTGGGCTGTAGCGTCTCAAGGTATCCTGTCATGTATCCATTTACAGTGAGGCAAAGGCAGATTAATGTCTTTGCAAAGGACTGCGGTGTACTACTGGAATGGATCAACTAGCAATCATATTTTACATTATCACTTAGCCTTTAAAGGGAAATACCGAAATAAAGGGAAAACGGTCAAATTATACACCCTTTTCAAGCTTAGTGCATGAGGTGTCGTGGACGAGTGGACATGTCACCGGACTGTGGATCACAAGGTCCGCGGTTCAGGTCCCACCGCGGCTTAGATTACATTCGTAAGTGTGCGTTTGTAAAAATGATGCCTGGCTGGAATGCTCCCCAGGGAGTGGAGAATGTGCATACATTGTGTGCGGGTAAGCCTGAATCAGATGACCGAGGTAATAACATATATAGGCCAATATCTGTAAAATGCTTTGAGAGGGCCTTCGTTCCTGAAAAGCGCTATTATAAGAACTAGCTATTATTATTATTATTCGAAACACAACAGCGTTTAATGTATCACTTTAGAAGGTTGCGTTTAGGAGAACGACTACTTTCACAATCGTATTCTAAAATATGTTTGATCGCAAGTTTCGCGAGAATATTGAGGCTCGATGTAATTACGTCATGGGGTGAAGTATAAGTGAAAACCCGGAAGTGTCACAGTCTTTCGCTGCGTCCACCTGACATTTTGAGTTTTTCCTATGAATTAATTTAGTTGATTGTCCTGGGTGCAGGTAGGCCATATTGTTTGAGATGACTAATGTTTGTTTTTATCTGCCTCAAAGTTTTCGGTCGTGATGATTATTATCTGTGTTAAACCATTATGTATGGAAATTATTTCTTTAATTATTTGTATATAATGTATGGATATACTGAATATGATGGAATTTGTTTTGAAAATAAAGAACCCTGTGGAAGGGGGAAAAATGACTAATCTGTATATCTTAACATCGCATTTGTTAAGCTTATTTATGTCATGTTAAAAAGAAGAATCGGAGTAACGGGACTTCCTTTCTGGACTTACATTATGCTATCGATCATGTTGTATAGTTCGTTAACTTTGTCAGGAGGTGCTGTGGTATACTTCATTCACTTGACTCTGAATCCAAAGGTTGATGATTTGAATCCCAGCCCGGCACCATGTCCTTTGACAATTAAGACATCAATCCACATTTTCCACTCGTATCTCCACTCAGATGTGGTAGCCATGGGTGTCGATCCGTAACTGATACCTATTCATCAGGGGGGGGGGGGGGGGGATGATCTATTCATTCATTCCCCCCCCCCCTGATGAATAGGTATTACGTAAGGATCGACACCCATGGTGGTAACTGAGCTTTCCTTGGTTAAGAAATATATCAATTATCATCATCATCATTTTTATTATTATTGTTATTATTAATATTATCATTATTATTATTGTTATTGCTGTAACCGTTGTTGCTGTTATCATTGATAGTATCATTATTGTTATTATCATTAGTAATAGTGGTAGTAGAATTACTAGTATTTTGAATACTGATTTATATAATGTCCTTTGGCAAGACATTGATCTACATTTATGTTCTGCCACACTCAACCCATATAAGTATTGGTACAAAGCTAACATTAATTATTCCTCAAAGTACTACAGCGCCATCATGACAACAGTGCTAAAGCCGCGGGGGAATAATTGTGGAGCGCTATGAGTGTCAAGTCTGACTGACATAAGCGCTATATTTAAAAACAAATTATCATTATTATTATGCCCATTATCTTTATACACGAATCTCCCGGTTGCCGTATGGGCTATGGTTTAACCCGAGATTCAAATTAAACCATCAGAACATGAGAGGAGCATTATAATAAAGACATCAGAAAATCTCAGTTTGACTAGAAACAATTACTATATTAAATAGCCAATTAGAGATCCTTTTACGGTTGGTTATGAATTTGTTTAAGTGATACGTGCTAAAATTGATATGGCATATTTATTTGGGGTATAACTTGTTTGAATTGTAAAGGCAATAATTTAGGATGATATTTGGAAGAAACCAGCATACCGCTAGAGGAAGGGGTAAAAGTAATTGCAATAAGGGCAGCATTACCCACGTATATCTCCCTCTTCGTCAGGTGTACATGGATATCGGGAAATACAGGGGTAATAGTAATTGTATTAAGGCCAGCATTAATACTGATGACCCAATTATTATGTCATTATCATTATTAGTAAGTTTTCGAATCACACCATATGATAAGAGCACCATATAATTCTGCACATATCACCAACTGATTGGTTAAAATAAATCGTCGGTTACCTGCAAGAAGGCCGTAAGAGCTGTATTGTCAACGGCAAGAACGGCTTTCTTGCGTGCAGTCTACGAGTTGTATTAATATGGTTTGTTTGCCTATGATAATTTGCCCTGAACTTTGAAGCAGTATCAATTTACAGGAGCATAAAGATCATACAGGGATTATTCGTCATCATGTTTGAGAAAGGGCCAGTAGAGCTCAAATAACAGCAATAAATATATAGGTTAGGTAAACAATAGACTATAGGTGTCGATGTAGAGTATTTGGCTAGGTACCTGCTCTTTGTATTACTTTTTCGTTTTAATGAGCATTGTTCGTCTCTGGATGTCTCTTGAAATCTTATGTGATATCTTACTACCAGTAATCGATGACTAGTCGTTTGATTATGATTGTGCTTTAATATGTATATTAAACTTTTGTATATTTTACGTCAACTATATATAATTATATAATCCAGCCAAATTCATGTTGATACTATGTGATGTTTCATTTGAAAAGGAAAGGATCAATAAAACAAGAAATACTGAAAAGAAATATATAGGGCTGTAAACAAGGGCATGTGTATCATATGAACGGCCCTGTTATGTTTTTGTGCTGCATATATATCAGCTTACTTCATCATGTATATCACGTGATTTGTAAACAATTCAGACAAGTCGTGAAATGTTGACTCCTTCGAAGTTCGTCATGCAATTACTAAATGACATAGTGTGTTGCCAATTTCGGCATGGTAAAAAAGTAAATCAGGTGAAAACTACTATGAATATATTGATTGCTTTGAGGAGTAGGGTTAAAGCTATTGCAAAGGTGATCTCGAAATTGTACTAAGTGCCGAGACGAAGTCGAGGGGTATATGAATACAGTTTCGAGATCACCAAGGACCTATAATTTAACCGTGCCCCGAAAAATAATCAGTCATCATGTGTTTCAAATATCGCATCCGCGTGTCAATTCCTTAAAGGAGATATTTTTTGTTTTAATATACCCATCAAAATATATTACTTTGCAGGGAAATATACTTCTCTATTACCGTGTTTACACAGTGACTCGGCTCAGGTGTTGAATCCTCAAGCAGGGTTGAACCCTACGAAGAGGGCAACTCATATTGCTCTGGTTGTCTCATTTTCGCCAGCACAAACGTAGGCTAGTTCGCGTATATAGCAGACGGCAATCGGCGGATCAGACGACACTTGATAGTGATTTTGTATGTGGGATTGCTTTGCTTCATGAATATTCATGTTTTTGCTTACCTCAGCAAAATGCTTGCCTATACTAAATGGAAAAAATACGGTGGGGGGTGGGGGGGGGGGGGTTGGATGAAATGGACATAATGAACAAATTAGAACTGATCTATGATAATTCATGCTTCTTATCCTTCGTGTGCTTGACCTATAACCTTACAATCGCGTGGCAAAGTGAGTCCAAAGTTCGACTTGTTGTACATGTGTTATATAGGCAATGGCGAGTTTGCAACCTATTTTGATCAAATTACGGTGGGTGAACTTTCAAAAGTCAATGGGACATGAGGGTTCCAATGAAAGAGCTGGTGATAACGTACGTCGGGGTGGATTTGCTTTTCGTTTAAACAAACAAATGAACTTTTAACGATTTGTTTGTGTAAAAGTCCATAAGCTAACGTACATGTTAGGCAGCTGGACTCTGCCGATAAGGGGCGTTCTCAAATGAGACTAAACGGAGCTATATGGTCTCACTGCGCGTATCCATTGTAAACTTTACGCACAACCATCGCGTCTTTGCATTGTTAACGCAATTATTTAGAATCATATAGCTCTCTTTAGAAATCTAGCCATCTGATTGGTCGAAATTGGAGTCGTGACTTTAGCCATGCCCGTAAAGAAACGGACAATGCCAGTAACGGTCAATAGTTCATGAGAAAGATGCCCGTTTGCCGAGATCCCCATTGGTTTACGTGTAAAAAAGTTTCTTTGTGCGAGCGCGGATCCCATACAGTGTGTGTGCGATTTGGTCGCTTACTGTGTGCGATTCCCGAATGATCGTAACATTCAGGCAACTTTCCAGCGAAGATTAACAGACAGTGTCTCAGATTTTCTGTGATATTTTAACCAATCTTTACTCAAGAAAAGGACAAGGCAAGAATTCTTTGTAGATTTTTGGGGGAATTCGATATATAAAAGATATATGGACTGCTTTGATATTCGAGGCATGGCTATTTCTATACTGGCTCTCGGGGACGTTGCATCCTGCCATGACCTTGAGGCGCGCTGCGGTGTCCCCTTGAGCCTATTGAAATAGCCATACCTCTCAAAATAGCAGTTAATATATCTATATTATGACAGGTCTATATTTTTCGCCCAGCAGTCACTAACGAACGTCATGCCTGTAGTTTTGACCAATAAGAGACCTAGAATATTGGCGCGTGGTATTTATTTTCACATTTGGTATCGCTTGTTAGTGATTGAGGTTGTAACTCTTTCTAGCAACGAGAGTTATTTTGTGGTAAAGAGTAAGTGTCTACACACTTGCTTCCATGCTAAGGGCCCCTCCCTCGATGCCATCGAAACTACATGTATATGTCCGGGCTATGCCCCACCTATCTCTTTATGGTGCTAGCTGGTCTGATCGTATCTCTGGGGCATACCATATGCATGATAATAAAGATATGAGAAAAATGTAAGTTTGCTTTGAATCAAGGCCTTTATTCAATTCCCCTTTAAGTTTCGTTTAAAAGTGATTATAATTTTGTTTAAGTACTGCGTGCTAAAATTAATATGGCATGTTTACGGCACAACTTGTTTGAATTGTATAGACTTTGGATCTTTATCAAATACAAATTGTGATAACTGTGTTTATACCACCATCAATTTATGCAACTAACATCTATTTCATATTGTTATCATTCGATATATATACGAATGAAAGAGATTTATCAGGGCTGTTTAAGTCATACCTCGATCGTATTTTCGAAAATATTTGTTTTCTTAATCCATAAAGCGTTTATGTAAACAAGAACACCCAACTCTGTCCGGTCATAACGTTCTTGATAAGATTTCCGGTTATAGGAATGGAATACTCTATGCAAATATCACATGAGAGGGTCATATCACTGTATTTCAATCATCTCTCCTGAGAATCAAACAGCACGCGCAGTTTGGCAATAAGAAACAACGACGTGCGGCCAACCTCACGAAACCAATGACATCTGGATTCTACAATTGGAATTGGGTTAATATTCAGTTAAATCCGACACTCCTTTTTTTTAATGTAGGAAAACTTAAACCTTGGTCTAACTGCCAAAGGACAAAACGCAACTTTAGATTCAAGGCCGGGTTTTTAATTTTTTTAGCAGAAACGGGCCAATACATGTTTGCTATTGTGTCTCAGTTTTCTCTAAAATTGTGCGACGCATTCTTGTCAATAGAAGTCAAGATAAAGCGAAGCGGTCTCTTACTCGAAGTCGACAGGAAATCAGATGTTTGTCTACATAGTGAATATTACGTTAGCGTGTAGGCTAGAAAGATGACATGCTGTGTAGGAGACCATGGATGGCATTTTGATATGAAGAAATGGATTCCAAAGCGGATGAACGCTCTTTTGAAGCGATAGAAGGGAGAGCCTTACTGAACGTGTACGTCACCAGATCGGATACGCCCTTTCAGAAACATCATAAACTACAGCAAAATCAAGGCGACGGATGATGAAGAATATCACATTCAGATAAGCCATCCTTTCATGTCTTTAGTGCTTTCAAAATATGTTAATCATGTTAATCTGCAATACGAAAGTGCAAGCTGAAATGCGTTATATCTGCACTGGGTTCCCTCGATTTCGTTCTACCAATCATCTCTTTAATCTGCAGTACCATGTTTCGTAAATTTGTTTATATCCTAGGTCATCTTGGTTGGTTCAATTCTAAATACTGAATTGTTTTGGATCGGTTAATTCCCCTGTCAACTTTTCTGCCCAATACTATTTATATATTAAATTCATAATACCTTCATTTGGCGAGAGACAATACACATACCGAGAGAGAACACAGAATGAACATGGCGTTTTTTACAGCGGTGAAAGAAGGCGATCTTGTAAAGACAAGGTTTATTCTAGAAGACGAGACAGGGGATGCGAAGCTGTTCATGGGAGACAGTGTGGATCCTGATGGAAAGACACCCCTCCATATAGCTTCAGAAGAAGGACATATCGACCTCGTGAAATATATAATTGATGTGGGGGCGGACCTAGAAAAGCGAAGTAGAAGCGGTGACGCCCCTCTTCACTATGCGTCTCGGAGTGGTCACCAGGATGTTGCTCAATATCTCATCGGTAAAGGAGCAGATATCAATATCGGTGATAGCAATGGATATACACCTCTCTATCTTGCTTCGGAGAAAGGTAGTTTTGGTGTTGCTGAATGTTTAGTAAATTCTGGAGCAGATATAAACAAAGCTTCCTATGACCTTTCTACACCCCTTTATATTTCAGCAAGTAAGGGTCATTTTGATGTAGTGAAATATCTCATAACTAAAGGAGCCGATCTTGAAATGAAGGGTCCGAAGGGTCAGACTCCACTTTCAGTTGCGTCATTGAATGGTCAATTTGAGGTTGTGAAGCATCTTATTAACGAGGGAGCAGAGCTTGATACTGGTGATGAAGATGGCTGCGGTTCACAGGAGGGACACCTCGCCATTGTTGAATGTCCAACAAATGAAGGAGCGAATGTGGACAAAGCATCAAATCGGGGTTACGTACCACTTCACCACGCAGCTTACCACAATCATCTACAAGTTGTAGAGTATCTCATAATTAAGGGAGCAAAGGTTGATATTGATGATAAAGATGGTTTCACACCTCTCTATGTAGCTTCTCAACAAGGACACCTTGATGTTGTAGAATGTCTAATGAATGCAGGAGCAGATGTCAACAAAGCAAACCACAAGAAAATATCACCACTTCATGCTGCATCACGGAACGGTCATCTAAACGTTGTGAAATATCTTATCACCCAAGGAGCAGAAATTACACAGAAGGGATACAGGGGTGAAACTTCTCTTAGTTCTGCGGCTTCCCGTGGTCATCTCGCGGTTATCAAGTATCTTACCAGCCAAGGAGCACAGGTAGACACTGAAGATAACGATGGCTACACGCCTCTACATGTCGCCTCACAGAATGGTCACCTCAACGTTGTTGAATGCTTGGTGGATGCAGGAGCAAATATAAACAATTCATCGAATAACGGACACGCACCACTTTATACGGCTTTGATTAAAGATCACCTTGACATTGTAAAATATCTCATCATTAGAGAGGCAGATATCGGGAGCAGAGATGATATCGGCACTACGGCAATACGGCACGCCCTTCTTCATGGTTACCTCGATGTAGTCAAATATATCATCAATAAAGTTGATGACCTTGATAGGTGTGATATTGATGGTAACACACCTCTTTATCTTGCATCACAGAAAGGCCTTCTGGACGTTGTCGAATGCCTCGTGAATAAAGGAGCAGATGTGAACAAAGCTTCAGGATACAATGGGGCCACATCCCTCTACGCCGCTTCACAAGGAGGCTATCTGGAGGTAGTTGAATACCTCGTGGATAAAGGAGCTGATGTGAACAAAGCATCAGCATATGAAGGCGGCACACCCCTCTACGCCGCTTCACAAGGAGGCCATCTGGAGGTAGTTGAATACCTCGTGAATAAAGGAGCTGATGTGAACAAAGCATCAGCATATGAAGGCGGCACACCCCTCTACGCCGCTTCACAAGGAGGCTATCTGGAGGTAGTTGAATACCTCGTGGATAAAGGAGCTGATGTGAAAAAAGCATCAGCAGATGAAGGCGACACACCCCTCTACGCCGCTTCACAAGGAGGCTATTTGGAGGTAGTTGAATACCTCGTGAATAAAGGAGCTGATGTGAACAAAGCATCAGCATATGAAGGCGAAACACCCCTCTACGCTGCTTCACAAAGAGGCTATCTGGAGGTAGTTGAATACCTCGTGAATAAAGGAGCTGATGTGAACAAAGCATTAGCATATGAAGGCGACACACCCCTCTACGCCGCTTCACAAGGAGGCTATTTGGAGGTAGTTGAATACCTCGCGAATAAAGGAGCTGATGTGAACAAAGCATCAGCATATGAAGGCGAAACACCCCTCTACGCTGCTTCACAAAGAGGCTATCTGGAGGTAGTTGAATACCTCGTGAATAAAGGAGCAGATGTGAACAAAGCATCAGCATATGAAGGCGACACACCCCTCTACGCCGCTTCACGAGGAGGCCATCTGGAGGTAGTTGAATACCTTGTGAATAAAGGAGCTGATGTGAACAAACCATCAGCAGCTGATGGCGCCACACCTCTCTACGCTGCTTCACAAGGAGGCCATCTGGAGGTAGTTGAGTACCTCGTGGATAAAGGAGCTGATGTGAACAAAGCATCAGCAGATGATGGCGCCACACCTCTCTACGCCGCTTTACAAGGAGGCCATCTGGAGGTAGTTGAATACCTCGTGAATAAAGGAGCAGATGTGAACAAAGCAGCAAAGAATGGTTCTACACCATTGAATACAGCATCTCATGAAGGTCATCTAGATATGGTGAAGTATCTCGTCATTAAAGGAGCAGCTCTTGATAGTAGAGGTTATAAAGGTCAGACGCCTCTTGGTGTCGCATCACTCTCTGGTCATCTCGCGGTTATCAAGTATCTTACCAGCAAAGGAGCACAGGTAGACACTGAAGATAACGATGGATACACGCCTCTACATGTCGCATCACAGAATGGTCACCTCAACGTTGTTGAATGCTTGGTGGATGCAGGAGCAAATATAAACAATGCATCGAATAACGGACACGCACCACTTTATACGGCTTTGATTAAAGATCACCTTGACATTGTAAAATATCTCATCATTAGAGAGGCAGATATCGGGAGCAGAGATGATATCGGCACTACGGCAATACGGCACGCCCTTCTTCATGGTTACCTCGATGTAGTCAAATATATCATCAATAAAGTTGATGACCTTGATAGGTGTGATATTGATGGTAACACACCTCTTTATCTTGCATCACAGAAAGGCCTTCTGGACGTTGTCGAATGCCTCGTGAATAAAGGAGCAGATGTGAACAAAGCTTCAGGATACAATGGGGCCACATCCCTCTACGCCGCTTCACAAGGAGGCTATCTGGAGGTAGTTGAATACCTCGTGGAAAAAGGAGCTGATGTGAACAAAGCATCAGCATATGAAGGCGGCACACCCCTCTACGCCGCTTCACAAGGAGGCCATCTGGAGGTAGTTGAGTACCTCGTGGATAAAGGAGCTGATGTGAAAAAAGCATCAGCATATGAAGGCGAAACACCCCTCTACGCTGCTTCACAAGGAGGCTATCTGGAGGTAGTTGAATGCCTCGTGAATAAAGGAGCTGATGTGAACAAAGCAGCAAAGAATGGCTCTACACCATTGAATACAGCATCTCATGAAGGTCATCTAGATATAGCGAAGTATCTCGTCATTAAAGGAGCAGCTCTTGATAGTAGAGGTTATAAAGGTCAGACGCCTCTTTGTGTCGCATCACTCTCTGGTCATCTCGCGGTTATCAAGTATCTTACCAGCCAAGGAGCACAGGTAGACACTGGAGATAACGATGGCTACACGCCTCTACATGTCGCCTCACAGAATGGTCACCTCAACGTTGTTGAATGCTTGGTGGATGCAGGAGCAAATATAAACAATGCATCGAATAACGGACACGCACCACTTTATACGGCTTTGATTAAAGATCACCTTGACATTGTAAAGTATCTTATCATTAGAGAGGCAGATATCGGGAGCAGAGATGACATCGGCACTACGGCAATATGGCACGCCTTTCTTCATGGTTACCTCGATGTAGTCAAATATCTCATCAGTAAAGTTGATGACCTTGATAGGTGTGATACTAATGGTAACACACCTCTTTATCTTGCATCAAAGAAAGACCTTCTGGACGTTGTCGAATGCCTCGTGAATAAAGGAGCTGATGTGAACAAAGCATCAGCATATGTAGGCGACACACCCCTCTACGCCGCTTCACAAGGAGGCTATCTGGAGGTAGTTGAATGCCTCGTGAATAAAGGAGCTGATGTGAACAAAGCATCAGCATATGTAGGCGACACACCCCTCTACGCCGCTTCACAAGGAGGCTATCTGGAGGTAGTTGAATACCTTGTGAATAAAGGAGCTGATGTGAACAAACCATCAGCATATGTAGGCGACACACCCCTCTACGCCGCTTCACAAGGAGGCTATCTGGACGTTGTCGAATGCCTCGTGAATAAAGGAGCTGATGTGAACAAAGCATCAGCATATGTAGGCGACACACCCCTCTACGCCGCTTCACAAGGAGGCTATCTGGAGGTAGTTGAGTACCTCGTGAATAAAGGAGCTGATGTGAACAAAGCTTCAGGATACAATGGGGCCACATCCCTCTGCGCCGCTTCACAAGGAGGCTATCTGGAGGTAGTTAAATGCCTCGTGAATAAAGGAGCTGATGTGAACAAAGCATCAAGATATAAAGGCGAAACACCCCTCTACGCCGCATCACAAGGAGGCTATCTGGAGGTAGTTGAATGCCTCGTGAATAAAGGAGCTGATGTGAACAAAGCATCAGCATATGTAGGCGACACACCCCTCTACGCCGCTTCACAAGGAGGCTATCTGGAGGTAGTTGAATACCTTGTGAATAAAGGAGCTGATGTGAACAAACCATCAGCATATGTAGGCGACACACCCCTCTACGCCGCTTCACAAGGAGGCTATCTGGAGGTAGTTGAATACCTTGTGAATAAAGGAGCTGATGTGAACAAAGCATCAGCAGATGAAGGCGACCCACCCCTCTACGCTGCTTCACAAGGAGGCTATCTGGAGGTAGTTGAATACCTCGTGAATAAAGGAGCTGATGTGAACAAACCATCAGCAGCTGATGGCGAAACACCCCTCTACGCTGCTTCACAAGGAGGCTATCTGGAGGTAGTTGAATACCTCGTGAATAAAGCAGCAGATGTGAACAAAGCATCAGCATATGATGGCAACACACCCCTCTACGCCGCTTCACAAGGAGGCCATCTGGAGGTAGTTAAATACTTTGTGAATAAAGGAGCAGATGTGAACAAAGCATCAGGATCTACAGGTGAAACACCCCTCTACGCCGCTTCACAAGGAGGCTATCTGGAGGTAGTTGAATGCCTCGTGAATAAAGGAGCTGATGTGAACAAAGCATCAGGATCTAAAGGTGAAATACCCCTCTACGCCGCTTCACAAGGAGGCTATCTCCAGGTAGTTGAATGCCTCGTGGATAAAGGAGCAGATGTGAACAAAGTCTCAGCATATAATGGTACACCATTACATGGAGCAACGCAGGAAGGACATGTTCACGTTCTAAAATACCTGATCTCAAAAGGTGCAGACCTCAAAAGTGTTGATGGTGATCACTCTTCACCTCTTCATATTGCTTCACAGACAGGTCGTCTTGATATTGTTAAGTACCTCGTGAATACAGGGGCAGATGTAAACAAGGTATCACATGATGGTTATGCACCACTAGGAATAGCATTATTTTATAATAAGCAAGATGTAGCAGAATTTCTCATGTCTACGGAAGCGGATCTGGGAAATAGATTTGATACTGTTCAAACCACCCTCCGCAATGCATCCTCCAAGGGTCATCTCGATGTTGTAAAATATATTATACATAAAGGAGTGGATGTTAATAGTGTTGACGGAGATGGCTTCACATTCCTTTATCACGCATCAAAGAACGGACATCTTGATGTAGTTGAATGCCTAGTGAATGCAGGAGCTGATGTGAACAAAGCAGCAAAGAGTGGTTCTACACCTCTGTATGCAGCATCTCATAAAGGTCATCTAGACACAGTGAAGTATCTGATTAACAAAGGAACAGATATTGATAATCGAGGTTATAACGGTCAGACGCCTCTTCGTGTTGCATCATTCTGTGGCCATATTGCAGTTGTCAAGTATCTTATCAGTCAAAGAGGAGATAAAGACATTGGTGATAACCATGGTTGTACACCTCTATATGCTGCTTCATATCAAGGTCATCACGATGTTGTACAATATCTCATCGCTGAAGGAGCAAACTTGAACACGGGAGATAATGAGGGATTCACACCCTTATATTTCGCTTCACAGAACGGACATCTTGATGTAGTTGAATGTCTAGTGAATGCAGGAGCTGATGTGAACAAAGCAGCAAATAATGGTTCTACACCTCTGTATGCAGCATCTCATAAAGGTCATCTAGACACATTGAAGTATCTGATTAACAAAGGAACAGATATTGATAATCGAGGTTATAACGGTCAGACGCCTCTTCGTGTTGCATCATTCTGTGGCCATATTGCAGTTGTCAAGTATCTTATCAGTCAAAGAGGAGATAAAGACATTGGTGATAACCATGGTTGTACACCTCTATATGCTGCTTCATATCAAGGTCATCACGATGTTGTACAATATCTCATCGCTGAAGGAGCAAACGTGAACACGGGAGGTAATACGGGATTCACGCCCCTAAACATCGCTTCACGGAACGGACATCTTGATGTTGTACAATATCTAGTGAACGCAGGAGCTGATGTGAACAAAGCAGCAAATAATGGTTCTACGCCTCTGTATGCAGCATCTCATAAAGGTCATCTAGACATAGTAAAGTATCTCGTCACTAAAGAAGCAGACATTGATAGCAGAAATTGTAACGGTCAGACGCCTCTTCGTATTGCAGCATTCTATGGTCACCTTGCAGTTGTCAAGTATCTTATCAGTCAAAGAGCAGATAAAGACATGGATGATAACGATGGATATACACCTCTATATGTTGCCTCACAAGAGGGTCATCTTGAGAGTGTTAAATGTCTAGTGAATGAAGGAGCGTATGTAAACAAAGCAGCCAATGATGGTGATCTATCCGTCCATGCTGCTTCTCGTCGAGGCCATCTTGACATTATAACATATCTCATTACAAAAGGAGCACATATCGAGGCACATAATATTTACGGTTGGACAGTTCTTCATTTTGTCGCAGATAATGGTCAATTGGAATCTTTGGAATATTTCTTGAGAAACAACACTGCTCCTGAAGTTGGACTTCAGGTAGGTTATTCAATTCAACCGGCTTTTACTAGCAGTCGGATCGCGGCGCGTAAGCCGAATTTTAAGCCATCAGTTGTTGTGTTTGGTGTCTTCAAATGTGTCGTATCAGGGAAAAATTGGAGACGAGTCCCTTGGGATTAGTTATTCGATTTAAGGCTTCGAGATATTCAAGTAAATATTTTAAGCATACTAAATTAATTTCAAGTCTCTTCCACATAATTTTAGAAACTCAGTTACTGTTCTCATGGTCTCATTATTTTCTTCTTAATAGGCCTATTATTGAGACATAACTGCAGTCGCTTAAAACTACCCCCGTCACGTAATTGGAAGGTAATTGTCACAGGCATAGTTGTCCTGGTGTCATCATCCTTGTTGCAATTGCTCTTGAGGGTTGTTCCAAGGGGGTAATTGTCCTGAAATGGCTGCAGTGTTATATATTTCTGAATAATACGCCCACGACCGACTTATACATTTGGTGTCAAAAGATGGGAAGAGTGGAAATAAGAATAATAAAAAAAATCGTACTGGAAGGAATGGTATTGATGTTATTAATATACCATTTAATTATGAATATGTTTCTTGAATTAAGCGGGAGAAGTTGAAATAAACGATTATGAACTTTTTACAAATTTTAGATTTCAATTGAGTATCTGGAAGCCTGAAATTGGGAAAATCATTATGAAAGGAACACGTTTAAGTTTTCCCCTTTATAAAACACATAAAAGTTTTTGTTTTTGTTTTTAATAAAAAAAAAGAAGGACGAAAGCAAAAGATCAGCAAGGAAAAATGCGAGGATATTATACAGTGTTAACGGTTAAGCGTATAAGCCAGTTCATAGTTGCAGTCTGAGGATGAGCCAACCAAATTGCAGACCAAATTGTAAAATACACGGAGACAAAATACTGGATACGTGCTCATGAAAGTTATGTAATCATTATTCATTTATGCACAAGCAGTGCACTCCATGATACACAGGTGGAAGTATTCTTTGAAAATGTCGAATAATTATATTCATAAAGTAAAAGGTGCTACTCTACCAACACAATAAGCATCCAAGTCAGTAAGAATTCCATATTCTCCCTGATTGTCTCTTATGTAGGGCAAACTGTATCCATCGATGAAATAAGAGTAAGACAACATGTATCTTATGGTAGGCCTATTTAAAACTGTAAGCAGCGTACCGATATTATTTATCTTACAGACCTTAGCAGGTGTCACGCCATTAATGGTTGCCGCAAGGGGAGGGCATCTGGACTGTGAACGTCTGCTGCTCGAAAACAATGCAGACATTGAGACGGAGGATGCAGAAGGATGGACAGCCCTACATTATGCTGCAGCAAGGTGAACTGCTTATACAAAATAGTGCATACTTTTAAAGTACTACTTTTTTCCTCCAGTATGTTCACAGAAAACTACAATGGATCCGTATCAGGAAAATTACCTCCTGGACAATCACCCCCGGAAAATTAACCCATGGAAAACTACCCCCCAAAGACAACCATTCCCCGAGGACAATAACCCCCGGAAAATTACCCCCGAAAAATAACCCCCGTGGACAATTACCCCCCCCCCCCCACCCCTGAAAATTACCCCCTCCGGGGTAATTACCCCGGAAAATTAACCCCTGGAAAAACTACCCCCAAGGACAACCACCCCGAGGACAATTACCCCCATGTTCATTAATGGGTAGTCCACCCTGACAATATTTAATTCAATTCAAACTTTATTGATTTCAATCCAATCAGATAGGATCATTCTCAATGTTTGTACATTGAATAACAAATTTCAAAGTTATAGTGTAACATAGATAATTGAGTGTAAGAGTAATAACAAACAAACCAGAATGACACAAATTATTCTGTTTGTTTTTGATAAAAGCAGATTTTTTCGGGGGGGGGGGGGTAATCGTCCTTGGAGGGGGTTGATTTTCCAAGGGGGCCTTTTCAGGGGGAATTGTCCTCGGGTGGGGGGGGGGGGGGGTAATTGTCTTCGGGGGGGGGGGGGGAGGGGGCGCTTGGGGGATATTGTCCTAGAACCTGGTTCAATTGTAGAGTTGGTACATTCAACAAAAACAATCATCGTTTTTATTATCAAAGCAAAACAACATTTCTTAGTTTTTTTAGTTTTTTTTTATGGGTCGATGTATCAGCGGTTGCAAAGGAAATATACACTTAAAAAAAGAATGAGACACAACCAAAAGTTCCGCTACACTAACATGTAAAATTGTATTACAATAACGGTTTGTAGTTTGATACCTAAAACAACATGATTCGAAATTGATTCGCCATTTATTAAATCTCATAGAAAATATTATTTCGTCTATGATTTCAGTATCATGCTAATAATAATTATAGACAGAAAATTTACAATTTTAATAACTACTTTAAACATGAAGAAGAAGTCTTAGGTTCTAAATATAAGTACTATATCCATTATTTTTATAGTTATATATATATATATATATATATATACATACATATCTATTTATTATAATACGTTTTCTTGTTCTATAACAGTGGGAATGAATCAATAATGAAGGATCTACTGGACCGGAGAGCAACTATGAGCACGAGACGTTCTAGACGAGGCCAGTTACCGATAAGTATAGCACTAAACTCTTGCAATGCTGATACTGCACGGATTCTTCTTGATGAGGTACATGTAACTCAAAACTCATTCAGCTTGTTACGTTTATTAATATAACTTCTGTCATAAAGCTGAAGCATTACCATCTGAACCACCGCCACCCATACTATGCTGCAGCTGTACGTTTAATATTATTATTTAGGAGGTTGGTTCGACATAATGGGTATCTGTTTGTTGAATTTGTAATATGTAATGTCAAATAGTTTTACTTTAAAAGGTGTAATTATTGGTGAATTGGTTTACTTTCTCATAAATATTTTTTTTTGTTATTTGCTTATCTACTTTGTTATTTATTATGTTGTTTATATATATTCAAACTTGTCATGATTGTAAAGCGCATAGAGAAGTTTTTAATTTGTTATGCGCTTGATGAATATTCTCTATTATTATTATCATTAATATGACTTCTGTCATATAGCTGATGCATTACCATCAGTACCACCGCCACCCATACTATACCCCCCACTACCTATAATTTGTACTCTTGATCTACAATTACTCCCCTATGCAGTTCTGCTATTAGGCCTGTTGAAAGTAATCCTAAAGAAGTATCTTCTCTTTTATGATGGTTATAACAAGCCAATAGTTAATGTATATCACATTACATAGATTGATAATGATAGTAGTAAATGATCGACAACAATGCATTATCTATCAACTGTCATCAGGTATGACCTCTACTCTATATTATGGATAGCTTTATCAAGTATATGATGAAAACGTATGTGTGTATATACATATATATATATATATATATATATGTATATATATATATATATATAAATATGGACCAAATCAATATTCATATAGGGTACATTACCATTACGTAACAATATTTGAAATCATTCATTTCTCATTTGTTTATTTGTTTGTCTTTGTTCACATCCACAGGATGTTTCATCCATACATCACATCGACAGTGCTGGTCTATCACCCATTCACCTTGCTACTGTAAGCGGGCTAACATCAATCATTGAAGAGTTGGTATCACTAGGTGCTGGTTTAAATCCTAAGTCACACGATGGCCAGACCCCCTTACATGTTGCCATCAGACTATGCCACTGTAAGAAAAGACAGGTTGAAGTGACGACAGCTTTGAAGCAGGTAAGGTATTTCTTTAAGTGAGAACTGTTAGTCTTTCTGATTAGCACACAAATGCACACTCGTGTGTGTGTGCACGCGTGTGATTTATTTACCTTTTTATAAGCCGACAATGCCATGAAAATAGATTGCTGCAAGTATAAACTGAATACAAATATAAGGATCTTAGTACCTGTTATCGTAAATTTTGAAAACTGGTATGAGAGCAGAAAAAGCATATAATCTAGACAGTCTATTTGTTTGTTTGATTATTCTCACAATAATCTAGTTCTATTACCGTTTCCATTAACGAAATAGATACAACAAGAGAGTGATGATGACATATCCCCCGCGGAGGCTCTGATACAATTGCTTATAAATCAAGGATCCAAGGTCGACATCAAGGATAACAACGGTTTTACCCCGGTACAGTATGCCAGAGAGGAGCGCATTGTGCAAATGGTATTCCGTAGGTGAGAAAATTATAACAATAAGTTAACCAGGCCCTGTAAAATATGATTCAAGATTTAATTCTTCAAAATCCAATGAATAAACTTACGGAAATTATCTGCGTTATAAATGTACATATTTACTATAAAAATATCTTTTGAAAGATTCGATTTTAATTTTTCATAAGATTTGTCGACTACCTATTTTTATTTCGCTGTAAACATCTGTCCTTAAACAATTATAATTGTGCATCATGACATATAAGTCCCAATAATCAAAACAATGTTGATACATGACTGTAATATAAAACAAATATACTTTGGCGTAAAACATTGATGTATGATAAGTTATACACCACAATTATAAACTGATACACTTTTTTAAAAATTCTTTTGGCAGCTTATCCGAAGATGATGTTCATACATTCCGGGGTACGTATTTCATCTAATTTTGAAAGGTTTTACTTCTCACTTAGATTGTTCCCAAGGGTCAATGAAGGAAAATACTACCCCTCCCTTCCCCGTTGTATGCATATCGCAAAGGTTTAAACTAAGGCATTGGTTTCTGCGTTCTATATTTCTACAAAATCCATATTTTAGAATGTAACATCCCCATTTAGGTGAAAGAAAGGTAGAAAGGACGGCGTTATTCCGCCTTCAAAACAAATTCGACGATTCGTTTACTTATCATCCGTATAGCGTTGATAAGACGACGTCCGTTCAGGTTATATATTTGTGTGATATGGAATGACTAATCATCAAGCTATCATCAGATGATACAATTCACCTATTACCTTTTTCCCTTTTCCGTAAAAATAGATCTGCCGATTGCAAGATCTACTGAAAGTCATCGCAGTATCGGCTGTGAAGGCGGTATCCTACATTTGGATAGCTGTGATGTCACAATGTCGATTCCACCAAGGACAGTCCAGGCTGGCACTTGCCACGATGTGTCTTTAGCTCTAGTTACTGATGATCCCCCACCTCACCGAAATAGTGAGTTTCTTACAGGCCATGGTATTGGAATCACATTCCCTGCACAGTGGCGCTATTCCAAGAACCAGCCTATAACGCTCAGTCTCCCTCATGCCGCAACATTGCTGAAGTCAAACGATGTTCATTCTGACATTATCTGGAAACAAACTGAATCAAACTCAGGTAAGTTGTCAATAGGAGGATGCAAGGTAGATGTAAACACAAAATATAACTTTTTTGGAATTTACCATGTTAAATTCAAGTCACTCTCTTGCTTGGCGCAGTGAAACAGTTAATTGATAAGTCAATGTTTTTACTTTAAGTAAAGATGCGCTGTAATTTTTTAAATTATTTTGTATACATTCCTCACTCACCTATTTATATTTTTTTGTTCATTAAATGTCCATTTTACATCATCATTTCTTCAATTTATCATAAACGTACCTAGCGGGAATGTTGCAAACCAAGCATTTAGCAACAAATTTAAGATTTGTCAAAGTCACCAAACCAATAAGGGTCATACCAAAAAAAATAAATAATGGATTTTAAAACAGATTTATATTTGAATGTTTTGTCCTGTCAATATGCAATTGTTTACAGATCACCGTGAACATTCCTTTGATGGTAGTAGTACGCAATGTATCATTACAAAAAGGGAAATCAACCTCATCATAGATGCCACATCTGTGATTAAGAACAAGGTACAGCTTTGGATACCGATTAAGCTTCGTTATCATGCTTCTGGTAAACGAATGGTGTGCACCCCTTTCCTTCCCATTGATATGGCACAGGGGGAAGACATCGCACTCCGGGTGTACATACATGAAGACATACCTTACATTGTGCAGGTAAACGTAATCGCTAATACTTTTGACCAAAAAAAGGGCACGGGCAATTTCAATACCCTATCGTATATCTCATTGAAATCGTGTGCAGGCTACGTACTACGTCATTATATTGGTATGAATAAACGTATGAATAAAGAGTGGCCTACTTGGGATACTGAATAAACACTGCTTTGTATACAAACATTTCAAGGCTCCGACTCGCAGGCCCAGGTTTAAAACCAGCTGGCTGATCTTACATTCACATTTGTATTGTCCGAACCTCGCGAGTCTCCTCATTCTTTTATATCCCAAGTTGGCCGCTCAATATTCAAATTTGCATTTTCTTTTTAAAAGTCTTCATATATCAAATTGAAATCCAACTACCACATAAGTCTGTGAATATTGATGTGCATCCCCTCTTTCTTTTTTTCTTCTTTTTTCTGTCTTTTTTCCCTTTTACCAATATTTTGTTCCTCCATATTTGTATTATTATGTATCCATTGAGGGTAGTCATGCTATCAAGCTTTGCTTACTTTGTCAACCCTCCTGTTTGATGTTTTCGATTAGTTACAGCCAGCCTTAATTTATTCTACATATATTCTTTTGTCATGTGTAAATTTGCAATATTTGTTTGTTATATATTTGTAAAAATGCAAAAGAAAAAGAAAATCAAACCGAAATAAATAAATCAAATCAAATCAAATCAAATAATATGTATACATTTTAATAGGCGACGCACAAGTGAGACTTTATCACTAGACAAATATTTCTGATATCGTTTCAGAATTCTTTATTTTCATTGTCCATGAAGTATCGTGAAAAATATACAACGAAACACAATGTTTTCTTTAGATAAGTGAACGATTGCTGCATGTTTTGTCGAGAACGGAAAAAGAACATTTTAAATACATAGTCATTTCAACATAAAATATGTCAAAAAATTGTCATGCACAAAAATATTTTGAGGAAAATATCTCAGAAAATGATGCACATGCATTATATGCAATATACGGTGAATAATAGTCGGTATAACCATATACTTTCAAACATTTTGTCAAATTGTTTTGTGTAAAGATGTGTATTTTTTCTCTCAATTTAAACAGGAAATTCAGGAAGAAGAAGAAGATCTTCTTTACCGTCAGGTACATCCTGGAAGATGTTTTGCTCTTGAACCCGGGTCAAGTGATATAGTGCTGGAATGCAATGGGGAAAGGAAGGTAATAATGTATTTTCCAAGGGTAGCTGTGTTTCAATATCTATGATATTTGTACGTCCTCCATTATATTTTTAAAAGTCGCTAGATGTTAGTGTTGAGATGCAAAGCAATTTTCTTAGTCAAAATGTTAACGGCCTGCTAAAACCACGAATTTACTGGCAGTGAACTTTGTATAGGATATGCCTTTACTTTCGTCTTCGTGGATGTTTGTATTATATATATATATATATATATATATTTTCAATCCAAATGTCCGTCTAATGACGCCTTTACTAATATTTATATATATATATATATACATATATATATATTAATACACACACGCATACACACACACACACACACACACATATATATATATATATATATATATATATATATATATATAAATATATGTATATATATATATATTATAAATTTTTATATATACATATAATAATATGCATTTGTGTGGCTAAATAATATCAATATCATATTTTATCAGATCATCTCTGCGACAGAATTATTCAACCGGCATGAGAAGAAACTAGTTACGATGCCCATCACGACTGACACCAATGCCAGAATGCAGATGATTAAAATGTCGATTTCAGCAACTAGTACCAACCAACCAAACACCAGCATGGCGTTCGTAGCTATACGGACTGGTTCGTCAATCTTCTTCTCCTCCTCATTGTTCTCTTTTTCCTCTTTCTCCTACTCCTTCTTCTTGTTCATCTACTATTTCTCCTACTTCATTTTCTTCTTTTAATTCTTCTCCTTTTTCTCCTATTCCTCTTCCTTCTCAAAATATATCATAAACAACAGCATCTATCGTTTAAACAAGTTTCAATTCTATCATGTTCATGGAATCCAGGATCATTGCATGTTTGTCATTATGTTTGTGAATTGAGAATATTGTGAATTTGACAAAAAAGTATATGTGAGCGATTTTATAGTAGACAAAAAAAATTACACAGTACATTCAAGAACAAAGAATGAAATATATAGTTTTGTGAATATTATGTTGGAAAAAAAAAACGCAATTATCATCCCCAATTATCATCAATTGAAACTATTTTTTTTATTCCGATGAGAAAAGTGGGTTTACTCGATAATTGTATCCTTTCCCTCCAAGGATTCTCCACCGACATACTCTCAACCCTAGATGAGATGGTCCCTGGATCAAATACTGACCTCAGGTAAAATTACTCTGAGAAACATCAATTTGTACATTAAGAACTTTTTGTGACAATACTTTTTTGCTGATTACTTTTACTGCTATGCTTTTTCCCTCATGTGCTATGATCTAAACAAATGTTATTAATACTATTATTCAAATATGACATCAACAAGATGAAAATTAAATGTCGATGGTGTCAGCTGAAAAATATGAACACCATTACACAACATACATCAATAATGTATTATTTGTATTATTGAAATTAGAGACTATTAGAGACAAATCCAAAAGTCTGGCTCTTTTTAAACTTAGTACAAAAAGTTTTGTCATCAAGGTGTACAATTTTTGCAGTGGATCGAGAACCCGCTGACATCAAGATCATAAAACTTAATGTAGAATGCTTCAGACTCGGCTGAAGTATTGTCAGGCGTCCCGGAGGGGTCTGTCATAGGCCCGCTATTCCTCCTCTTTATATCAACAACATCAATGGAAACATTTCGTCGAGTACAATGCTAGATGTAGATGATTGCATCCTCTACCGGGCGACCAAGTCGACCAATGACACCGAAATCATCCAGTCCGATCTCATTAGGCTACCTAACTGGACAGACAATTAAAATGATTAAGTGACAAATCAAATTCAAAATGCTCCTAGAATTTTCAGGAAGAGTCTTATTAGAGCATACATAATAAACGATACAACTATCAAGGAGGTAAACCAAAATCCTTAATTCGGAGTTGACCAAAACTTATTGTTGGATATTAAACTAAGCAGAAAACAGATTCACAAATGCAATACTTGACATGAAAACTATCTGGCCTCTCAACCAAGAATATTGTGCGAGCTGCGTTTTCTTTGATTTTTAGTTAGGTCTCATCTTGAAGATGTTGAATACGCATGTAGCATATGGAATCCTTAAAGCACATCACCAAACAAGATGCTGTGCAGAAGAGAGGGGCCAAACTTGTCAATGAAAATTAAATGCGGAATGTACGTCCATGTATCAGACTCGAGGTTAAACTGAAATGGCAACCACTCCAAACTCGACGACCTGTGGCTAAGGTCACTCACTCTTCTCCAAATCCATTCATGACCAAACTCAGATTTGGTTTGGACGGGGATGTGCTGCTCAAGCCTCAAAACCGAAAGGGTTTTTTTCTCGAAAAAAAGGCCCGTTTTTCACAAATTTTTATGACAAACACCCGAAATTTGTTTAAATTTGAAAAAACGGACTTATGTTTAGGGATTTTTTTGTTGAAAAAGTGACCCATGGGAGCGGCAAACCCCGTATGTCTTATATTGTGAACATTCCCCCGGGATTATCTCCTACCTGAGATCTGGTTTGGATGCTAGGTCATGACATTATCTAGCTTTACTTATCAGTGAAATAACGGTATTCTCTTTTTTTTCTTCTCTCTCTCTGTTCGTCCTGCATTTCCATTTACAGCCACACCGAAGACACTCCGAGTTACGAATTCATAACAAAAGAGATAAACACTGATCAGTACTACCATCTTGGTCTAGCATTGGGTTTGTCCTACCAGACACTTGACAGCATCCAGTTCAGAAGCAGACACCATGAGGAGGCTGGGGTTAATACCTTAAACCCAAACGCTGCTGTCTCCATGATCCGCTATTGGAAATGCTTGCTGCATTCCGTTTCCCTAGCAGACGATCATCTAAGAGAAGTGTGGATGTCCGTGATCGATTCAGGAGATTTGACCCCTGTTCTAGAACAAGGACGAAGAGCGGGTAAGAATGCACTAGATTTTAAGCACAATTAAACTAATTCTTAAACCGTCGGACATACAGGGATTGTGCAATTAAGTTTAATACTCGGATTCGATTGATCAACAAGTCTGAAGTACATGTACATCTTTACACGGTCTTCGTATTTTCTACCTTCTCTCTAAAGAAAAACCTGAAACAGATAGTAAAGACGTCTTCGAAGAAGAGGTCCTTCGTGAAGAATCAAGGACCGCCCCGACAGTAGGCCTTCATGCTTTGGGGTCGGAGGTGAGTTGATCCGGGCATTGTTGATTCTGTAATTTATTTCAACGAATGTTCCTAGACGGTTTTTATACTTTACAAACCTGTACGATCATACGTGCGCTACCGACCCATGAAGAAATTTGATTACACCTACAACATCGCCTTGACTTACAATATAATGTTTTTATTGTTTAAGAATGTCTATCATAATTGCTAATAATGTTCTAAACTGCTGTACACAATTGTGTATTTTGGCAAGTTGACTATAAATTATTGTTCTTAACAACCCATTACTATTACGAAAGTGTTCACTCAACTTCATTTCGAGTGCGTGGATCGATTATGGAGACACACTGATTTGCTTCAATGTTCAGATTTTCTTTGGTGAGCTTGACTTTATATCAGTCTAGTAAGATACTTGCTGCATCCACGTGGAGGAAAACGCTTCTTCTATACTCTCATGACTATATCGGCTGCCAACAGCCCAAGAGACAAACAGCCTACAAGAACTTCATGTCGGCCTTTCAGGTCATTTAATAACTTCTTGGGTTGTTTCTGTGGTGTGTTGGTCGATTGGAATACCCTGGTATATATGGCAGACCAGGATTGCGTCTTCATTGCAATGTGCTTCCATGATCAGTACACAGTTAAATTCATTTTCATGTTGCAATCATTATACAATTTGACTGATTGATCGATTAGTTTCTTTTTTTTTTCTTTAGATCACTCAAGGACAATGGGGAGGGAGAGTTTATGAAGGCCGAACCAGAACGCCTAGTATTAGAAGTGACTCCGTAAGCAGGTGCGAAAGCCTTTAAATTTATAATACATTCATCTCTAAATACACATATTTCTCAAAGTGAATTACCTATTAAACAGTCGATATGTTTCTCTGCGTGTGTTTATGTATATGCATATTTCCTTTAAAATACCAACGTATTTAAACATGCATGGTACATGTTCAATGAAACATAATATACAACGGATAGCCCATTCCAATGGGATTGACATAATTATGCTCTTCTCCATGTGGTTATGGATGTAATGTACAATCATGAAAAACATGCAGATATGTGATTCAGCTCAAGTTTTCTGTCCTGTAATATTTCAGAGATTAAGTGTACACCTAGCATCTAACTGAATGAACATTTAACGATATTTATTTCATTTTACAGTTTGAGCACAGTGCTAGACGATGAGTATCAGGTTTCGTTACATGGTAAGCCACATAAACATATTATCAAATATTCATGTCAATTAATCTTCAGATTTTAAGTCTCTTTGACTTGATTCCAAGCATATATAGAAGTTTCATCAGGATCATGATTAAAAGTATACCCCAAATGAAATCAAGTGCATAACAAAATATCAAAGGTTCAACATTAAAAAAAGCAGCTTAATACTTCCGTGATACAGTTCGTTGAACAAGACAGTGGTCTTTCTGTTTTATATAAATGAACGAAATTAACGATCAATTGCTGAACTAGTTTAAAAAGCTGTATATATAAATTATAGAAAAATTTACTTGATACTGTGTTTCTTGGAGTTAAAATTGAGAAAAAAGGCCACTATGCTCCCATGTTTCGCTGTATAGTAATTCAAACTTTGGTCACCAATCTCGAGTGAAAAGCATACAATTATCACATTGTGAAAAAAGTGAGGAAATATGGTTTGTAATTTTAGCTGACAAGTTTAGGTAGATCTTTGTTAATATCCTCTTTTTTCTTAGGCGAAGAGGTGGGATACATCACAAGAAGAGAGCCCAGAAGGACCAATCGCCCTGATGGAAGCAGAACTCATGGGTAATATTTTTATTTCTATTCGCCAGCCATTTACTTTGACCTTATCAAACAATTCCCAATTGATCATGATGATGATATTGATTTGTAAACCTTCTTGAAACTACAAATTTGAACCTTGTTGAAAATGTAATTAATTTGATAATGTCATTTTTAGTAAATTGATTGTACGAGAATCACGATGCTAAGTAATTTTCGAATATCACTGGTAATGGTGTTGCCATGGAATAGTTGTTTATTCTCTTGACTCAATCAAATGTTGAGGTTTCGAATCCCAGCTCAGCACTAACGTACTTTGGCAAGATATTAATCCACATTCGCCACTCTCTATGCTGGCGCTAAATTGGTACCCTGTAGGAAGCAAAAGTAATTGTAGTTTGCTCAGCTTGGTTTACAAAATAATGCCTGGTCGGAAAGCTCAGCAGGGAGTGGAGAATGTGCGTACATTGCTTGAGGGAAAGCCTGAATCCGGTGACCGGGGTAATAATATATCCGTAAAACATTTACAGACATCATCGATGTGTAATCACTCCTACCAAGAATATCATTATAAAACTCTAGTTTAATTGCGATTAAGAAAGCCCTTATGTCGCAGGCCATTTTGAGAACATAATTGTCCTTTAAAATGATTGTTGGTATTGCAGAGATTATTTGGGGTTCAGGCAACAAAATATCCCCGAAGACCACGATTACCAAGATTGGCAGTTGGCTATGTCAGCAAGTAAAACAAACACCCAACAAGGTAAATATCTATAATTAAATGTGAAATCGTAAAAAGGCCTTGTAAATCACTTGGACATAGGAAAATACTAAGACTATTAAGTTAACTGGACTTGTCATGCTTCATGATATTGTCAAATAAAAAAAAGTGCTTTTCGTATGTACTGGTCCTGTACGCTTACCTGCAAACAGTGCATCAAACTCTTATCGAAATCCAAGGAAAGTGAATTGATAATTTTCACAGCTGTTCGAAGTTCTTTTATTGCAAGAAAATATATATACAATATATGAAGAAAGAAAAAATAGTCTGATTACATTATATATTTCCGGTCTAAAGCTATATAATTAAGTATAAACGATATGTGACGATGGTATGAACTATTATCACTCATAGATACGTCTTACGTCACTAAAGAAAGAAAACAGAGAGAGAAAATGCATTTGCAATTCTACTGGTTTACTTCTTGATCTCGATATCCCAAAATTTCATAGAAGCAGATTCCTCCGAACAAGCGATCACTTCACCAGGCATTGAAACAAGATCTGAGTTGGAATTTCCGCCAATTTGCCAGAAAGGTGACGATTCAACTGATGAAGATGAACAATTGCAAGTACTCCACACTCTGTCTTCAGGTAAAAGGGGCAGTTTAAACTTCATGTATAGAAATTTGGAGATTGACCACAGGGAATTATTGTAAAGAAGTACAATTGAAAGCTGATGCTGAAAGGGGATGAGAGTATGGTTACTATGGTTACCCAGGATAAACCAATTCAAAAAAGTAATACATTTTCATGCAAGATGATTTCAGTATGTTATTATTCAAACAAAAGTATACTTAAGAATAGTATCATTTAGTGATTTCAATGTACGATTATCCATGCGTATTATTGAACAATATTCTAATTTATCACGTGATTATAGGTTTACCCGCTCAATGTTTCAATTTGGTTATCGGTTTAATGTTAAAAGCATCAAAACTTCGTGATCGTCACAGCAAATTATAATTCGAAGCCTTCAAACTTGTTATTCATGCAACAAGCTCTTCACATGATTCATGTAATTTAAATAAGGAGCATACGATATAACGAATTGTAATTCAATTTCATTTTCTCTCGTTCGAATTTGTTATCAGTGCAAAAGTTTTCTCCTAAAAATTAGTCAACTGAATTTAGAAAAAGAGTATCCAACATATGTGATGGGCATTCGAAATAATTGTCATTCATTCAAACAACAACAACTTTTTAAACAAGTCATTCACATTTTTTACTAGGAACATAAAATTTATGAAATAGAAATTCCAAATCAGATGCCTATTTCTTAGGCTTTTCTTTAGTCATTTAAATTCATGAAAGGGCAAGCATGATTTAATAAATGCATTTTATTCAAGATACATCGTTCAGGACCAACTATTATGAGTGTAAATGTAGGCATACAATGCCTAATCTCTTCAAATTGCGTTAATGACCCCTTCATACTAACGAGCTACTTACGAAAAGAAAGCTACTTCTAGGGTCTCCTGGCTTTATATTTTGACACTGCTGTGCCATATTTTATTGAAAGTATTTCAAACACAGAATGAATTTAATATTCATATGTACATGGTTTTATAATGCAAGATCTCCTCGCATCATAATTGATACATGACTGGGTTGATAATTTTACAAATGATTTTAACCGTAGACAAATACCACTCTGAAGGGATCTTTGACCAAACTGGAGGAGAGCTACTGATTCCGTCATACGGACTCACCCTTTCCGTCCCTCCCGGTGCACTGCCAGAGGGTTCCAGTGAAACGATAACTTTAGACGTTCTCACAGACATCCCACCTGAAATCACTCTGAGAGACGACGAGACAGTTGTAACATATGGTTTCCAGTGTCTTCCGTCAGGATTACAGTTTGAATCAGCAAAACCTGTCAGATTAAAGATGCCCCATTGTGCCAACCTCATTGATCCGACAAAAGTACAGGTCGTTGTGTACTCCTTGAATCACGGTAAAGCAAAAGCCTAAAATTATTTAGCATGTCTAAATCAGAAGATAAAAATATTTTGATTTTGAACACTCAGTGGTTATAATATCGCATACCCTTCAACTAAATAAAGAGCATTCCAGCCAGTTGTCATTTCACAGGAATGCAAATTATAATCAAATCACACTAAACGCTTCATAGCAGATAGCCCTTTAACGAATGAGTGGAGTAAGGACCATAAATAGACAACAAGGGATAATTCGGCTAGGCTATAGAACAGGATGAATAGTATTACTAGTTGTTGTAGTAGTAGTAGTAGTAGTAGAAGTAATAGTAGTAGTAGTAGTAGTTTAGTAGTAGTAGTAGAAGTAGAAGTAGTAGTAGTAGTAGTTTAGTAGTAGTAGTAGTAGTAGTAGTAGTTTAGTAGTAGTAGTAGTAGTAGTAGAAGTAGTAGTAGTAGTACTAGTAGTTTAGTAGTAGTATTAGTAATAGTAGTAGTAGTAGCAGGAGTAGTAGTAGTAGGAGTAGTAGTAGTAGTAGGAGTAGTAGTAGTAGTGCAGGAGTAGGAGTAGTAGGAATAAATATAATAATAATGGTTATGCTGACTATAATAGTGATAATAATAATAATATCATTAATGATATTAGTAATTATAGGAATAATAATATACAAATTTACACTGTCTTGAGAGGTTCTAGTTAAAACTAGGCGCAAGAGGTGACTCCAATATTACTATTTGCTGAGGGGCGCAGCCCGAAGCAAATGGTACTTTTGGAGTCACCGAGGCCCATAGTTTTAACCAGTACCTCGAGTAGAAAGCAGGGTATATTTGTTTTATATCCTGCATCAAAAATGTATTACAAAAAAAAAAAAAAAACATTTTGGGGAAAAAAATAATTTAGAAAAAAAAAAAATGTCAATTTTTATCTAAAAAGATTTAAAATACTTTGTTTTCATTAAATTAAGATTTGAAAAAGAAAAAAAATTCAATTAAAAAAAAAATTCATATAGTACTTTCTAAAAATAGTTCAAATATTTTTGGTCATGTGACGAGCTCTCAACCAATCAAAAGCCGACAAATTTTGGATGCATGATATAATAATAAATATATATGATAATTATATTAATAATGATAATAAAGATAAGAAAGACACAGCAATAATTATTAACCTAGCAATTGCCAGTTACCCATTGACATCTAGGTGGCGAGTGGCAAATCACTACAACTACAACTACTACTACAACTTTAATCTCCAGAGAAGCTAATATGATTGGTGATGTAACTTGAAATTAATTCTTTCCTCACAAAATTTGGAAAAATATGACATATGTCTGAAGAATCTTTCTGCAAAGCGAGTGAAAGCTTACTAAAACAGGGGATAGAGCAACGTCGATCTGGCGCTGCCCAGTGGCTGCCGGTCTCACGATCAGTTGGGTAAAAAGAATTTCCATTTTCGGTTTAATAAAATTTTGAATGGACTTTAAATTATTATTATTATTATCATTATTATTATTATGTTTATACTGATTGTAAAGAAAGAACTAATATTTATCATACTACTAGAACAATTGACCAGTACTACTACAACTAATTCTATTTTTGTGTGCAATTTATTTCATTTTTTTTTTTACAGAAGGGGAAGTTGATCGCATTGTACAAACTTCAAGAACATGTAAGGTTACATATGACCACGTGGAGATTTTACTGGAGCACTTTACAATACGTATTGTGGCCTTTCTTCAAAATCTGTTCTCCATGAAAGGCAAACGAATGTCCTTCATGCCTTTTCTTCCAACGATAATGCCAAAGAGCAGGGAAATGATGCTGGAGTTTCGTATGGTCAACAAACCTCATGGAAAATCTTGGGTATGGCATAAATATCTGTCATATGAAGTTATATCAAACAATATACTTTCTTCATAAAACCCTACATTCATCAATACTCATCATGCAATGCTCACTAAACAAATAATGATGCTTTGATAGGATCGGCTTCATTTTTATTGGCATCAAAGATATAAACTAAATTCTTGCCATTTTTCATGACTACAAATTCATGTTGAAGAAATCAAAGGTTCAATTGATCTTCAAAGGTTGGGTTCTACAGGCTTGTTTGTGTAATGTTCATTAACTTTGCGCTTTCACTATGTGGGTAGTCAATACAAGACTGTGGAACTTTACCAGATCACTAATGCGGACCTGGTTCACCCACCCTTCTCTGCAGTCTTTAAACTAAAGAATACCTCACTTACTTTTCTCGACCTTTACAATATCAAGTAGACCTCCGAAGAATTTAGCTCACTCTCATTTCTATTCTATCCCATTTGAATCCCAACAACCCTTTCCACGACTACCCACTTGGTGACACCGCAAATTTATGAAATGTTGAACCTGTTCAAATTGAATCCGATATTGGCCTGGTCAATGTTAAATTCTTCTAAAAAATCTCAATCAATACCTCTATAGATTATTCAAAGTACTGCTATTACCCCCTCCATCAAACTATAAACTATTTCTGGACAATGTGTTTTGTGTTAGTTAAACGGTAGTACATGGAATGTTTCAATATTCTGAAGTCTGACATTTTGTATAAACATAGAATTATCACATTACTTTGTCACAGAGAGATGTTCATGAAGTCGAGAAGGAAGCAAAGTATCAACCCGCTAAAGATGATGACGATGAGATGAATGTCAAAGATGATGATATGGAAGTCACTTGCCAACTAAATGCTAATGACGAACTTAAAGAGGTGAGAGTCCCCTCTCCCTCTTTGACAAAACAAGGATAACAATATTTTGAAACAAATTATATTCACCCACTGAGGGAAATAAAAAAAAAGATTAGAGGAAAAATGGGAGAGACGGAGAAGGAAAGAGAGAAGAGGAAAAGATGGACAGAGAAACAATTAGGTAGTGGGGTAGAGAGAAGACAACGGGAAAGAGAAGAGGAAAGGGAGAATTTAAGAGGGAATTAAGAATTTAAAGCAAGGTGGAAAGAGTGGAGAGAGTATTAGATGAGACAAAATAGTGTAACTGCTCACCACATCATTCAAGAAAGACAGTGGGCCCTTATTTATATCAACTTAAAAATGTTGTGGCGGCAAAAAAAAAAAAAATCGTTGTGATTCCGTTCAGATATCGGTGGAGACCTCAACCCTCATTTCATTGACAGGTCCATGCCGTGCGATTCCGTCTCTAGTCGCTTTGAGGTCTTCACAATTGCGTTGGTAGTCGTAGTCGTTGTTGTCAACAACCATTGACGGAATAACAACGGCAAGTGACGTCACATTTCGAACCCTGACGACACATTGCGCGGCAAGTAATGAAATTGCAACGACCTTGGTGCGACGATGGATTGCGAATTTTGGCCTGAGGGTGACGGTTGATGACTGTTGATGGCGGGTTGTTTGCGAGTACCTGCGACATTGCCCTACTCGCTGCCCAGACAACGTCCGGTTTAGGTCGCTAGACTCCGTTCCCTGCTGAAGCTATTCGTCCCTTGCCGTCGTGTTGTCGCTGAAGGGCGTTCCCACCCGTTAGCAAATCTAGGTTTTCCCCTTTTGCCGTCGCTTTACCGCCAGAAGTTTGTGATTTTCTCGTCCGTCGCTTTTTCCCGAAACTGCCTGTACATTTAGGTTGCCTTTGTGTCAGATGCTCGACGCTCAGAGATTGAAAACAATGGCGATGTTCTTTAGAACCAGTAACCTGTACGATAGCACTTCTCTGTACATGTCTCTTCGGTATGTAATACAGAGCTATTAGCCCGTTATCTCCTGCAAGAGAGGCCAATATTTCTCATGCTCGGTGTGGCGGCTCAGAATCTTCTTCGAAGACAAGCACATATATGTAACTCCATCTGTATATTGTCTTTGATCCCACCTTCCATAGTACCAGTGTCATGTATTATATATGAAAATGCTGTTAGAATAATCCTTACTTGTTCATCTTCCATAATTCACGTGCAATCCCCTACAAATACATTTATTTACATTATTTTCTATCATCTTTTACTGCGAATTGTATTAATATAAACGCTTAATTATATCCAATGACAGAATGTCGATGCAAGGCTGATCCAAAATACTAAGCATTCTCTCTACTTCGATTTGGATTTTAACGGGAAAGCAGATGACCTGCCGGTGAAGCTGAAAGTGATACAGTCGAAGCTTCCTAAGGACATAAAGTTTAGAACACATTTTCTTGCTCCTCGTGGTAGGTTTTAAATAATTTAGCTCATTTGTTTTGTTTGATTATAGTAAAGGAGACTCTGCAATTTACTTTGACTATAAGTCGCAACCATAACTATATTAACCATGATAAATTATTATTTTGTATTTGATAACCAATGCATTGAAATGAACCATTTTTATTAAAGGTTTTCACTCGAGATAATGAAATTTAATAACATTTGGAAATCATGCTTACCTCCTAAAATAGAAACTTATGTTTATCGCCACTGACGAATAAAAAAAGAAAAAGGAATTTCGACTTTGGTTCTATTTAACTTTTAAATATAAAGTAATTTACTTTAAACTGCAAATATTAGCGAAGGAAGTTGATTTCCTTGTTACATCGATCGGATTTTAAACCAAGCTCCAACTTTTTCAGAAATGGTAAAATCTTTGTCAAAGACGGGCATTATGAATTTCATGGGCAGACATGAACTTAAAAATACCTGGGAATTTCCTTTCTAAGATAAAAAAAAAAACAAAAAAAAAACACACATACGGTGCGCTTTGTACTTTTGTTTATTTCTCTATTTTTCTCTTACTATTTTCCTCCCCCTCCAATTTTAAATTGGGATGTAAGTATTTTGCTTGAATTAATCAATACATTTTCTTAAAATTCAAACTCAATCTCGCCAACATGAATTCTAAGTTGATCATTAGCAGACAACAAAAACAAGTAATAAAAATAAAATGAGGTAACATGATTTAATCAATGAAAAAATATTTATTGTGTGGTTGAATCATGATTCAATTGCATAATAAAACATGATTACACAACCAATAACATGAACATATTCAATGATTAATAT